TACAGAAAATTTTTAACGAAAGTGTACTAGTTTATTTTGTGTGCACTTAAGCTCACTGAAGAGTCACGTTAGTAGAAATATGGAAAATTCTTGTGGTGAAAGTAAATGAATAGGTCTGTGTCAGTGTAGATTGTGGATATGATAGAGAAGATTTGTAGCTCGGGTGGATGATTTTGAGGGGGTTGTGTTCTCTGAGCTGGATAGTTAGTTTGTGAAGCTTTCATCGCCCTACTAGGCGATGTCTTCAGCGCATACTTCAATTTGACTTGTCAAGTCAAAGAAACAATCAGTTCCAATACAAGTAACCTAAAAGGTGTGAAAACACACAAAAGCAACCAGTCACGTCCAAAGTCACCGATCAGGAAAGATAATTAATAAACTCGTGGCGAAATCTAAAAGCTCACTTCAAATTGAAGTATGCGCTGAAGATGTCGCCTAGTAGGGTGACGAAAGCTTCACAAATCAACTATCCAGCTCAGAGAACACAACCACCTCAAAATGTAAATTGCCTAATCTCAGAGTCTTAATGCGCTTACTATTCTAAACAAACCAATTCGAACTCACTTGAGATGGAAAATCACTGACTTCACGCATGAACATCGTCTAGTAATCTGTGATATATGGATATGATATATGAATGGAAGTGCATTATTTCATGATGGTCTTACTTTAAAAACAGCTCACCAAAGGCGAGAATAGGACTAAGATAATATTACTGTAAGAAAACATAATTGTAAGAGAAAAGGTCACTTAAGTTACAATTAAGGAAAATATCCTTTTAATTCTGAAATTAAGAAAGAACTCACTCAACCATGTGCATGTTAATACACTTGACCACAATCACATTTATCCTGTGAGGACTGATGATGATGTTGGCTGACTCTCCAGACCTCATTAGGTACAGTGGGGTTAAGGCACTAATGTTTGCTGATTGAAAGTGAAGTATCTAAGCCTATCACCTACAACTCTACTTTGTTTCCAAGTTATGCATGTTTTTCGAATTACTAAGTAACTTGACCTCGATGTAGCTTATCTTCATTCTTTATCATCACATTATTGATTGATATTTCCCCCTCTTTTTCGGTAATCTCAAGGGGAAAATATAGTGGGTGGTATGGTGGTCGCTGCATTTGCTTGTGAAAGATTGAATTTGGCGTTTTAAGATGGAATTACATACCAAATGACAATATTTCATATTCTCAAATGTCTGTTCGCAGTTCTATGCTACCTTCATACACATTCTCCACAACTGTCCCCAAGTTGTCGTCATTGACAAGCTGAAACTGAATAGTCGAATCGGGTGGTTCTGTCTAACTTCACTACTGGTTTTTAACAACTGGAGAAGGTGGTTATATGTCCTCACGCCAAAAGTGTTTTGTACAAGGCTTTCTTCATACCAGTTAGTTTTTAAAGGATTTTATTTCGTAGTGAGTGATTTCAAGGAATAGTCTTGTCCAACTAGTTGAAAGGAGTTCTATTATTATTATTATTATTATTCCCTTGGGTTCCGAGTGCAATATAAGGCTTCAACAACACATCTCCATTTTGTTCTGTTTGGTGCTGTCCTCTCCAGTTGGGTCCACGATTGTTCATAATTTCTCATCTCTCACGACCTCCTCTTTATCACCCGCTGGCGACCTACTTATCGTTTCCTATTGGGATTCTACTTGAGCCATGGTCTGGAGTGCGATGTCATTCGACGGCCTCCTCAACGTATACCCAATCCAACTCCATTTCCTCCTACATATTTTTTGGACAGTCACCTCTTAGTTGGTTTGTTCCCAGCCATAGTTTCTTGTTACTAATTCTTTCTGGCCTGCCTGCCATTTGATCTTCAGTATGAAGCGAAGGTTCAGTCGCTGGGCAGTAAAAAACTTGTATTAAAACACTTTAGCTATTCTAAGTTTTGGGTTTTTGATTCACTTTGTCCTTCTATGCATACTGGATGTTAAAGTATGTGTTCCCAAGGTATAACTGTTATGCCAAGCGTTGATGTGTGCACCATTCACTTTTAATATTGATACAGAATTGTGCACACATTTTCGAAAAATACCCTGTGTGTTCGTAAAGACTCCTTCCAATGGGTTTCAAATTAGAAGAAGCAGATGTTTCTCACTTGGTTTTACATATTATTCACTATAGTAGCTTACTGAGTAATGTGACTGTCAGCAAACTCTATCACTTGAAGCTGATTTACTTTACTGCAAACAAGTCAAATAAAAAAAATTACAAGGCATCTAGAATATTGATTCTGAGATCCGACGGAGTGTATTTGGACCGGGTAATGGTTGTCTTTCAATAAGTCATGTTGAATAATAATGTTGGTAGTGGGATATAATAGCTTTGGCAGCTTGAAAATGTGCTACCAACGTCCTTCCATAGAGTTTCTTATCGACTATTCTTCACTAATTCTATCATTTTATTATTTTGTGTCGCGGATTTACGGGTGTTCATACTTTACCATACTTTGTCTTCTGAACATGAATACAATTACTATTTTTTTAATGTAGTTCAAATTAAGTGGGTGTTACAGCGGGAGAATGCTCTCCAACCACACATATGCTCCGGAGTTGAACCAACCCGGTGAAGAGGGAAGATTGGACATAAGGCTAGCAACTACTCCACCTTGTAAAAATAAGCACCACTGCTACTGAAACTTCAAAGACCAAATTTGAAGCCTTATGTTCCACTCAAACGCAAATCAATAAAATAAAATGAAATATAATATAATTCAATAGAATGGATACTGAACAAAGAGTACTATTTTCAATAACTTCATCATCAGGCTCTACAGTTATACATACATTATAGTGAATGAATTAGTGTTATGAACAACATTAATGTTGTTTAAATGACATCGAATCAATAATGTTGATAGATTACAGTTCAACAGCATCAACATAACAATAAACCGAATGTCAAAAAAATTAGGAAAGATAATATTACAAATTCATGAATTTATAGTCGCTGCTGAAGGCCAGGGCAGTAACAGGGACTGGACTTGCTTCTTTTGAACACAGCGCACTGGATGTTTCAAGCGAATCGCAATAGTGTCTGCTGTTTAGAGCATCCGGTGCTTCGATGATTTTGGCAATTTATTAAGCACCCGGTAAATGATAGAGAAGGATTCTCCAAGCCACGCTTGCTTTGTGGCCGGTTTGCACTAGACGGTCCAGTATCGAACTGTTAATAGTTTTAACTATACCTTTACTTGGACATAGTGGGAGATGTTCTCGAGTTAGGACGAAAAATCAAGTTCCTAGAGCAACGGGCAATATAACTCGCTCCATAGGCGGGGCAGTTGAATTGATAGATACAGTTTGAAGTAGCCAGTTAGTCTAGGTACTTCATCTTTCAGTCGAGGTAGCACCATCGGCCGTGTAGAGAATAAGGCGTGTAGTTTGCCAGCATTAAAAGTTCTGTGAACTGATTTTCTTAATCTCCTCGTAATTATCTCACTTGGTATATCGCCCTTGAATTGCAGTCGTATATAAAGTGGCTTCTTATTTACAGATAGTGAGTAGTCCTTTTCCGCTATCTTCGTCATGTGTTTCTTGATAAATTGTTTGGGATACCCATTTATGTTAAAAGTATCATGTGCAATGCCTAATTCATCTTCAGTTACTTCTTCTGAGCATATGCTCTAACTCTGTGGCTGAGGGTCTTCACTAAATTTCTTTTGCACTTGATAGGAACGAAGCTGTGAAAATATGTATATTGTTCTGTCCAAGTGCTTTTCCTATGCCAATTTCTATAGGTTTTCAGTTGGTCAACTTAAATCCTGTACTTACACTACCGTTTATACTGTTTCATACACAGTTATAATACCCACAAACCAAGCCCTAACGCTTAGGTGTATTGCTGGCATAATAAATAAATCAATAGATATCTGATTTACATCCAAATTGTATAACTGTCTAAAAATTCCACTCTTGCATTAGTTAAACTACTGATTTTAAAGTGAGTCATTGTTAAATTATTTTGGCGCCTCTCTTACATATAAAATCAATCGTTAATTTCATTCAATTCTAACATCAATTTTTAAAGCATTACCATAATTATAGTTGTATCAACTAGGTGTATATTAAACAAACAATCCACCGTTTTATGAATTGTCATGTGCTTGCGCCGTGTTTTTTATTTGAATAATTATTCATGAATCCATTTTATCAAAAAGAAGACCGACTACTCAGTGCAGTGTATTTTTTTCTTTTTGTCTTCAACAAAACGTTTTATTAGTAATAAAAAAGCCTTTGAAAGTGTTTATTAAAAAAGAATTTCTTTGTTAAAGTTTGCGCTACTGGTTTAACTGAGCTATTTATAAAAGTCATGCATTCTTTTAATATATGTTTTCTTTTGCTCTACAAGTAGTATAAGGTGAAATAATAGTCATCATTTATCACTCCGATGATTGTGATCACCTGTGAGATTGGTTTGAGGTAGATACTTGCAGGCACTGTACAAGAAGCAACTTCTACAAGGTGAGTCACGAAGAGAAGCCAACTGCTCGTACACTCCTATCTACTTTGAATTCTCGAGCCTAGTGAATAACACTGTGACTTTTGAGATGATTGTAGGACTGAGATTCGTTGTGATGGACGCATGGCTATTTGAGTTGAAAGAAGTCGGTGGCAGTCCTAACCGCTGTGCCACCGACGCCCTAAAAAAGCCAGCAACACTTGGTATTCCCAGCCGATTACCCATGCAAGAAATAACCGGGACCAGCGTTGCTTATCTTCGGTGATTGGACAAGAACCGGTGCTTTCAACGTGGTATGGTCGCCGAATCCAGATGGTAATATTGTGACCCTAACACAACAAGTGATGTACAAATTGTTTGGCCTAAATCTAAACACACTAGCTCAGTTGTGGTATTATGATATTCTCTCTTTAGTAGTAATTTTTAGTTGTAGTGTTTTTTTTCTCTAAAAAGTAGGTATATCATCACTTCACTAATCGAATTTTCTATCTTTTTACCATCTACATCTGTTCTTCATACAGTCTGCCCGACGTCGTCAAGTACTCCGAGGAAATCATTGCCTAATGAAACTGTAGTCACGCCTTTCAGTGGTGTCAATATATCCGATTTTACTAGTGATATTATAGGATGGAGTAATGATTCCAAACCTACACCATATACAAAACAACGCGAAGCAGAAGCAGAAGTTGTATCCAAAGCCGAATATTTAAAATTATTGGATGAGATGGAAGAGCTTCGTCAAGAAGTTGATTCACTCCGACAAAATGCTCAATTGCTTCAAATGCATAATAATAATATTTCCAAACCAGAAGTCAATGATAAAGAACAGTTAGTAAGGTAAGACGACTACTGATCATGTATACCAGTAAATGTTGATATCCTGTGAAAAGAAAAGCGTTGAAAATGAAGTTATCAGGAGTAAATAGAAATCTACATAGGGTGTGTTCATTGAGTGAGTGAGTGAGTATGATTTCAGTTGGGGTATGTGAGACTGGTTAACTCTTTCAAGATGAATACAATGATTACTTTGGTTAGTTAATGGTCGTTAAATACCACTGTAACAACAGAAGACAAGGGCCAGGCAACAGATCATTTTATTACGGAAATCAGCACGTATATATTTATATATATATATGTATTTCATGTACATTATTAAAGCTTATTCAAGTAGACAAAGACAGTCTTCTGATTGGTTGTTTTCGAGTTTCTCGGAAAGTGAAGCCATCTACCTGCGAATCATATTTGCCCACGTTTAAGTCTGCTGTGACTGGTTGTTGAATCAGCCTTGTTCATATTTTCTCACGGCTAATATTAGTGACCTGGACATTGACGTAGATTAATGTCTACCAAGTGGCTAGCAGCCTGCTCTCACCACACCACTACTCTGTAGAACTGAGGCTATTTATCCTAAGCCTATTGCAACTTTTCTATTATTAGTATTTTTCAAGATTTTGTGTAGCAGAAAACGGAAGTAGAGAAGTTAAAACGTGTCACACACACACACACATTCCTTAGCAAGTTTATACAATGTTATCTGACAAACGTATTCTTTTATTTCTAGCTATTAAAAATGTAAACGTATGAACTACCCCGCTTTAATCAATTTCTTTTTTTTTATTTTTTGGTTGATCAGTCAGTTTAGTCATATTTGTTTTTGGCAAATAATTGTGACTACATTTTATGTATAATAGGAGTTAGAGTTCTACTTCCTGTCACAAGAATGTTTTCTTTATATGCTTTGCCTTTTTTATCTCTCTCTCTCTCCCTCTCTGAAGAAAAAGAAAGTTCTGACACAAATATTGCCTCTTGTTTTTTTTTTGTTGTTGTTATCTTCTCCAGTGATAAAAGGCCTTATAATCCCGGTTTAACAGCACAATTGTTAGAATTGAAAAATGAGGTCAGTTTCTGTTTCTTTTAATACATTACTGCATTCATCATTGCTTTTATTCTTAGTGATGTAGTAGTTTTTTTAATAGTAATAATAATGTGTCATAGCTTTTCATACCTAGAATATTTTGTTTTAATCATCTTTGATGGCGATTTGACTTCATTCAGAGAGCCATTAAAAAGTAAGGTGCACTCCCAGACAGCTGTTTCGCAATAGTCTGGAACTTTTCTTTACGGAAGGCACGCATAATTTATTCCACCAGGGATAGAACTCGCTGCGCCTCTCCAAGTTGTTACAAGGAGAGCGCTTGTTGAACATTCAGCTGATGGGACGGCATTTTGATGGCCTATCAGTTCCCTAATTTATGCCGATTCGTGATTTGTGTAGAACAACTGCCCCAGTCAATGTTGTCATCGTTCTAAGTATTCGTCCTCAGCATCATTTTCAAATATTAGTTGTATCTGTCTGTTTCTCTGTCTGTGTCTGTTTTCGACATAGAACTTTGCACCGATGTGCACCAGTTCAAGTCGCCACACTCCCTCCATGTAGCACACAAAGCAAGCGAAGAAAGTAGAAGAAATGCATAATAGACACAGTAAACAGAGGTGTGAGACAAAGAAATAGTAGTAACGAAGAAGAATATAGTTTCATTTGAAATCATAAGTCACAAGAAGTGGATGCATCTGCACTGTCATTGAGAACGATTTTGAGCCATATCACCAATTGTTTCCAACCATTGGTTTTTACTGTCCCGAGGACCCCAACCGTTAGGAAGTCTACACCTTCCTACGTGACTGGCTTTAACTAACTGTTGTGGATTTCATTGACTGGTGAGGTCATGTTTTGGTTTGACTGCCGTTAGCTCTTTTCCAGCCTGACCAATCCTATGTCAGCTGACATTGCCCATTGTTGAGGAAGGCGATGACTAGGCATACGTAACACATGTCCTAACCATCTCAGTCGATGTAGCTTCACAGGCTCGTCGATTGTTTCGCCTCCTTACCTAGGACTCGACCGATGCCTTACCTCAATATTGCTTACCTTATCATGCCACCTAACACGGGAGATAGAGCGCAGGCACCTTTCATCAAAGACAGCTAATCTTTTCATGTCTTCCATTCTCAATGGCCAGGTCTCACAGCTGGCCGTAAAGGAGGACGGAGCGGACTGATGAGGAGTACACCCGCCCTTTGGTCGATAGCCGGATATCATGTCTACTAAGCCAGAGACGGCGTAAACTGGCAAATGCGAAACTAGCCCTCTGTATCCGTGCTGTGATTTCGTCAGGCATCAACCCCGTTGGCTTTGGCTGATGGTACTTTCCAAATAATTGAATCTGTCAACGTACTCTGCCACTTCACTCCCTATTTCTATATTAGTTATATGACTGAAGTCAGTTCGTGATCAATCGATCGTAACCAATCAAATCCCTGTAAACCAGCATTTAAAAATTAATCTATAGTACTCACTGGTGACTGACTACAGTCTGAAGTTCTAGTGAGAAGTTGTAACTAGTGGGGCCCATCAAGTCGGATGTAAGGACAGATACTCACCGACGACATTTACTGGCAGTTGCTCTATATATCGCGAATTGGCAGCAGTTACGATTGATGGGCCATTTGATTCGGCCTCATTGGGTGAATGGTCAACAGGCTCGCATTGTAACCTGATTCCTGATATGGGAGACATGGATGCGTCCTGTTGAAGAGTCTCACACCAGGATAGATGAAATGGCTGTCCAGTGCTTCCCGATTTTCAGTGTTTCTTTAAATAAAGTTACTTCGCTATTGAAGTTGAAATCGATGAAATCCCTGCAGACAGTAGGGTGCAGCAGGTAGGGTGTGAGGACAAATGCTCGCTGAAGACATTAGCTAGGGGTCGCGCTATGTCGTGAATTGGCAGAAGTTAGAATTCATAGGCTGGCCATTGTATCGGTCCCCAGTGGCTTAATGGTATACGAGCTAGCTCGCCTTGTAACCAGAAGGTCCTGTGTTTGAATCCCCGTGGGTGCGTACATCTGGAGAGTCCCAGACTAGGACGAAACAGCTGTCCAGTACTCCCTGCAGGTTTTCTAATGGTTCTCTAAGTAATGTCAGCTCATGATGAAATCGTATAACCAATCAAATCCCTACAAAACAACACATGAATATGAAAGAAAATAATTCGTTTTTGATGTATAATGCCAAAAATGTCATTTTCAGTTATCCTCTCTGAATAAAGAGTGCTGTTTTTTTCTTTTGCTAAATTATTATAATTTTAGGTAGCTTCAGTACCTGATGATATTCGTCCAAATCAACCCACTAATATATTATTACCATGTATTCCTGGGTCAACTCGATTATACGACTGGTCATTAAATAGGAGTGACTCACAGGCAGACACTCGGGAAGATTTGAATAAATCCGGTGAATCTGAAAGCAGTACCGACGAATGCACACCCGTCAAAGCTTCTTTATCTCTTGTAAGTTAAATGTTTATTTAATATTTTTGTTCTACCGACTGATATATTCTGTATAATCGATGTCTACGTTGATAGCTACACATAGTTACTTCAAGTTGAAACAGCGTTGATTACTTCTGATACTGTGTGAACCGCAGCAACAACAAAGAAAGAGTTTATCACTATTTGAGTATGAAATTAGAGTTTTGAGGGTGAACGAGTCCTGATTTCTGCTTTTTGAAACTGCAAAGGATCAACAGTTCCAATTATTATTTGTTCAAGACTAGTAATTGATGGAAGCTTGTATTTACTTGTAGTCCTAAGTGGGACTGGTCACATAAAAGTGTATCTGAGTTCAGTGTGGCACAATCTTTTGCTTTTTGTTTAACATTACTCATTTCTCTTTGATTTTATTGGAGATGATGTTTTTTACCTGCGACTTTTTTGAACAGTTAAAAATATATATTTTTATTTGGTTGCAATTTGTTTGAAGACAGCGAGCATGTGTCACCATAACTTAACTGACAGTCACTTTCACTGGAGTGAATTTGAGTCCAGCTGAAGTAAATATTTAAAAATTCTACTAAGGTCTAAGTGACTTATTGATTTGTTTACTATCTTTTATGTTTCATTTTATCCTACCTGCCATAAGTGTATCAGTGGTTCGAAGTCAGAATACTCACCACCCACCCACCTACTCACACACACATGGTCCTGGTTGACTCACTCCTAAGCCTCACCTATCCGGTGGTTAGCTCATAAAAGAGGGAAGGTTAGGCATGAGGCTAGCAACCTCACTCTGTAGAAACACCAGTGCTACCGAAACTTCAAAGTTTAATGCTTGAAGTGTCCTACGTTCCACTCGGGGAACGCAAAGGAATGAAATGCAGCAGCTATAAGCTCTCTTCGTGTTGTGTTCTCAGACTTCATTTCACTAGGATTTCGCTCAACGTGTTGAGAGTCTAAATCTTGGTGTCCAAACAACAGTAAGTTCTGCTTTTATGCTTACCGATTATCGTTACTTTCTTCAGTAAACACGGAATTTTTATTTCGTTTTTTTGTCCTTCCTTTATTTTTAATTGATGTACGGGGATTTACATTTGCGTAATTTTGTAGCCTCAATCACGAAAGCTGTCATCAATTTTTAAACGCATTTTTGCCCGTAATATCAGAATAACTGGAAAGAGAGTACTACATAATTCTTCATCATCCTCATCAACTTCAGTTGACAATCTCACCAACACTGAAAACAATATTGATCATGTGTGTAAACCGACTCGATGGTTAAGTTCTCCAGTTTTATCAAACAGTAAAGATAATATGAAAATAATGAATTTTAAATCAAAAATTAAATTCAACAGGAAAAGATGTAAATCTCGTGAAAAAGATGAAAATTCACTGAAAAATATTTCTTTCCAATCTTCAACAGATGTTAAAAATGCAACAAGTACCAAAATAATAACCAGGTGTGATTATGTGCATAAATATGCACAGACTAGCGAGACACAGGTTAATGTTAATAAATTATTTCAAATACTACCATTGGTAAATAGTTCCCAGTGTTGGGTTGTATTTTGGTTGTAGTCTTTGTTTCCACTCTTTTTTCTTCTTCTCCTTCTTCTTGTGTTTATTTTTGGTTTTCCACTTTGTGAATCGCTCTATGTTTTTTAACTAATAGCTATTCGTGCAATTTTATTTTCAGTGTGATCATTGCGTACAATTGCAAGCGAAGATTCTCACATATGAAGCTGTAAATGCAGCTCAGAAAGACTTTGTAAGTTTTTGTGTTATGCTGATTTTTAAACGGGATTAGTGTAAAACAAAGCTTTCTTTTCAACTATGATGAATTATCGAATATCAATGAGATGCTCACACTAGCGGCTTGTCCTAATCAGGTAGGTAGTTACCTGGGGTTCTAGGGAGAAGTCGTGACCAGTAGGGGGTGCAGCAGGTCGGGTGTGAAGACAAATACTCGCCGAAGACATTGGCTAGGGGTCGCGCTATGTCGTGAATTGGCAGAAGTTAGAATTCATAGACTGGCCATTGTATCGGTCCCCAGTGGCTTAATGGTATACGAGCTAGCTCGCCTTGTAACCAGAAGGTCCTGGGTTCGAACCCTGGTGATGGGTCCGTACTGCTGAAGAGTCCCGGACTAGGACGAAACAGTTGTCCAGTACTCACAGCCTTTTTTCCATTGGTTCTCTAACTAATGTCAGCTCATGATGAAATCCTGTAATTATCGAATTATTGCATGTAACCGGATACCAACAAACCTTGACTTCGCCTTAAGAGTTCGATTACTAAATATTGCTGAGGCTGTTGGGATCCACATTAAGAAGCCTAATATAAAATAAGTTAAAAGAGGTAGATTTTCGGGTTTGTTGTCTAGCGAATACATTATAAAAATTGTGATTACAAAGCCCCCCCCAAAAAAAACGATTGCCTATGACCGATTCCACTTGATTTAGTTTAAACCTGTGTATATTCGTACGAAAAACATTACTACTGCCATTCAGTAAACATGTAACCATAGGAGTGACCTTTTCAACTCCACAAGAGTTGAAAGGTAGAAACTTGATTGCATTAGGTTGTGGTGTCCGAGGAAAAAACTTTACTGTCTTCATACCTATTCTGGTTAGTCTTATTATCCATTTGACAAGTCTGACTATAGTTTAAGCCAACTACCGTGTAGTTTTAACTGTCATGTGGCTCTAGCGTTGTCCATCCAACATTCCTGGTAGGCTATAACCTCGGGTTCTTAGGTTATTGCGTCATTCAAGTCCTACACATTAGGTTAGTGCGTCAGCAGTCTGTCGCAAAAGCTGTTTTAATTAGTAGTAACTGTCATATAGTCTCTAGTCCGTAAAGTTCCTAAATTAGATGAGTGTAAATTAAAATGTCTAGTTTCTGTAGTACAGTTCAATAGAAAGCTCAGCTGAACTGAACGCATTCTTGACCTTGCGTGTTTCCTGCTTTGTGTGCAATAGATTCGGTCATGTAATTCGTCATCATTATATTGCCACTTTCATACAAGAACTATATTGTTTCAATTTCGTTATCTCTACTTTTGTCAGTGTGGAGACTCGTTGACGTAAACATTTGACAATGTTTCTGAGATTTGAATATGACTCCATTTACTTCAGCTTGGGTTGCTACATAGTATTTTCAGCCTTCATACGATAAATGTGGGTCACATATCCCGCACACAGAATCTGTCCTAGGTCACTGAGTCCCAACTAGATAAGTATTTCTGTTAACTCATTATTGTTTAAAATCTCAGTCTATCTGTGATGTTTTGAAGGCACTAAATAGTTGCTTTCAGAAAGATGTATTCCTCTGTAACACGTGACACCAATAATGTGTTCTTGAAATGTTTATAAACATCCCAAAAAACCAAATACAATAACATCTTAGGTGGAATAGAGATATACGACCACTTTTCACTATTGCTTTATCCCAAATGTATGGTTTGGAAGGGCTTGTCCAGTCTTGGGTGTGTTTTGTCAAGGCGGCAACACCAGATATCATGTTAGGAAGCTGACTTAGGCATCTTAGATATGTGTGCTACGAACGTCACTCCAAAGTCTTCCATACTGATTACTCTTTGTTGGCTCTGGTACCGGTAGGAGTCGTCAGGGATGTGGCTGACCCATGAGGTGGCGCCTTGTAAAAATGTATGGTGAATTAAGTTGGTATCTGCTAGTGCTTCGTGACTCCCTGAGTGTTAGGTCTGAGATATCGTCATAAAGTTCAGTGTCTCGAGGCATTATTATTATATATCACTCGGAATCAGAATCAGCGGCGAACATGCTGAAAATGTCTCTTTTTTTCTGATTCTGGGAGCTATAAGAGTGTTGCCCCGAACGCCCACCTGCTTCATTCTATTTGCTCCGCAACTATTTTATTTCTGTTCACCTTTTTATTTTATCTGGCGCGCGCCTCGTGGACTATATACTTTACGATGATTTTTAAATCAATAAAATCCTTTTGTTTTGTCTAAAGTTTCATGATATTATCCATTGACTTTTCACTGATTATTAGTTATGAGATCTCTACTTTAAAATTTTCATTTAACCCACCTGGTAGTATCATATATCCTCATGCACTGGATGGCTGCACTTTCAATAGTGCACACAATTTACTAGGTTACTGAGTTGTATTTCAGGTAGTGATGTGTCCTGTGTAATCCTAGGTGGAGGTTGAAATTCATTTTATGCCAGTTTCATCAATATATACATGTCGTTTGTTTTACTTTACTTCCTTTTTTAAAAATTCTACTTATATAGAGTAATCAAATTGAATCTTATTTAGTAGTTATTTGATGTGTTTAAAGTTTAGTTCACAATCGAATGTTGTTAACCTGGATAAAAGTTGTAGAGATTGTTTTAAACCTATGAAGTTATTAAATCTATATGTGATATTTCATACCCCCACTACTTTAACTATACTGTTATTTTATTATTATATCTTGTATGTGTGTGTATGACATTTAAAATGAACATTTTTGTTCATAAAATCATATTTACGATTTACAATAGCGTAAAGAACAATTTAGACAGTAACCACCCACTCAAGCGTTTATAATTTTAGAATATTGTCGTGTACTTTGTACTTACTACTAACTGAAAAACATTAGTGTAGTAATTAGTCCACTGTGAGCCTAAGCCGCATCGCAAATTAGGTAGGTAATAAATTCCCTTTTTTTGAACATCTGATAGGCTGTTTTAAAATTGGTCATTAATAATTTCAATCCCAAATTTCTATGCCGACAAATTTAAATTAGATTAGATATTTTTTAAATTACATATATTTTCTATTACTTCATCATCTCTTCTTCTCCTTCTTCAGGCAAAAGAAAAGTCAATACAGGAAGTAATTTCAAGTTCAGAGGCTGGTATGAGAATTATGCTTGCTTGCTTGCTTGATTAACACTTTCACTTCTTAAATTCATTATTATTATTGTCTTTTGTACTCATTTTTATCATCTGAAAGTTTGTGTGTGTGTGTGAAGCAATCATTCCGCGTATGTGGATAAGGATTTAGGTAATGAGTTTCCACCTGCTGTTCTTTTATTGAGTTTTACCGGTATAGATTAGTGGGACAACTTTCTTTCCAATATAATCAAATCAATGTACACCGTGATGGCGAGCTACCTAGAATGGTGGCCACATTGCAAACCTGACTGGCAGAATTCAGTCTGCATTAAGGAAAGGACTAGTCCTACAGGGGGTCAGTCGCGAGCACGAATAGCTGAGTGTTAACGTCTCTGACTGCAGACGGCACGGGGTGATGTGGGTTCGGATCTCAGAAGTTCCTTCAAGGTTACAGATACGCCTTGCTGACTGGTGAGTGCCAACTAGCACGAAACCTAGGTGGAAAGCTTCTTGTGACCGATTGCCTCCAACTATCTAACAGCTTTCTTTTAGCTTAGCACACAAATGCAGAAATATTCACTGGAATTGCGTGTTTTCTAGGCAGGGAATTAATTCCACGCGTTATTGTCACACATAAGCTGACCTTATCTTGTTCAGTAGATTTCAGTCTTTGCAAACAAATCTTAAATTGGCTCCATTTATGCAACCATTACTAGAAGTGTTGTATGGTGTCTATTGAGTAGCAATCAGTAAAATGTACTAGCGTCTTCTAGATGTTCACGAGTTCCCGTAAGATATCTATGGATCAGGTTATACTGATCTCCTTCAAGTTCACTTTCGACTGAAGCATTAGGTATCATCTGTATGCTATGTAGAGTGTCCTCTATATTAGTCGTTTGCAAAATACTACGTAAAATGTTGTGTGTCAACGCTAATTACTGTGAAATTGCTTTTAGAAATTCTATAGTTAGTGTACAGCTTATTAAAAGTGTGCATAACATTTGCTGTAGAGAAAATCGAGTTTTTTTTTTACAGTGGACGTTCATTAGTATTTCTTACTGTTTTTATTGTTCATTTTTCCTAATTTTTAGGCATACAATGCAATGAAACATTACAAGCCGTTGAAGTCTCAACAGAGACTCACGAATCACAATATATGTGTAATGATGATGTATCTACACAAACAGATTTAGAGGTTAGTTTTGCTCACTGCTGCTTATGACTTCTCGCAGCTATATAATACTTAATTTTAGATATGATAGAGAAGATTTGTAGCTCAGGTGGATGATTTTGATGTGGTTGTGTTCTCTGAGCTGGATGGTTGATTTGCGAAGCTTTTATCGCCCTGCTAGGAAGCATCTTCAGCGCATGCTTCAATTTGTTTAAGTGAGCTTTTCGATTTCTCTACGAGTTTATTCATCATCTCTCCTGGTCGGTGACCTTGAACGTGACTGGTTGTTTTTGTGTGTTTTCACACCTAGGTTACTTGCATTGGAACTGATTGTTTCTTTGACTTGAACTTTGACCCTTTTTGTGTGTGGGGTTTCTTTCTTATCGGTTGATAAATTTATGATTAGTAAACTCGTGGAGAAACCTAAAAGCTCACTTCAACAAATCGAAGTATGCGCTGAAGATGTTGCCTAGTAGGGCGATGAAAGCTTCGCAAATTAACTATCCAGGTCAGAGAGCACAACCACATCAAAAATACTTAATTTTGATTGCCAGAGATAAGGATCTTATTGAAAAGTAAATATTTCTTCACTCAATCCTTCCGCTTTCCATATGTCTGAATGGGGATTTTTTTATATTTTAAAATGAATTCTGAATTCATTGTCCCTCATTTTCAAACGACATAAAGACTGAAAGAACTTTATGGAATCTCATGTGATAGTGTAGCAGTATATCATCAAGTGCATTGAGTAAAGCTTGATGGAAGTTAAAAGATGATAAAGGTATGAGAAAACCACACTTTCAGATGTCACGAGAAAGAATGGACTAGTGGTGGGATAAAAGTGTGAAGACTAGGCAAGTATTCAGAGTTTTGAAGCTAATATCAAGTGAATACTTCTGGGTCACTATGACTGAAGAGTTCCCTGCTTATACCCCATACTGCACTTAATTGTAAATAAATAAGTAAAGTAATTTTTCTCGCGTTCACGGTTAACGAAATATGCTTCTTTAACAGGTCAACGTAGAAATTTGCACAGATGTTTGCTAGTTCACTTCTTGCAAAAGCCGCTGGCAATCGACTGAATCGTCAAGTTGCTTGTGGCGGTAGGCCTTCAGGTGATCAGAATAGTTTTTTTTCAAAAATATCTTTTTGCATCTTTACTCTTTCAGCACTTCGCAAATAAACCATTTACCTAAAAAACACCAAATAGCACCAAAATCATATTCCTGAAATACAATCTTCCTCCATCGTTTCGAAATGCTCACTCTTAGCTTTTTTCTGATAATTTATCTCATGGAGGATTTCATGATGAGCTGACATCAGTAAGGGAAGCACTAGAAAACCTGGGAGTACTGGACAGCTGCTGTTTCGTCTTAGTTTTGGACTCTTCAGCAATACTTATCGAGCTCGCCTTTTAACAAGAAGGTCCTGGGTTGGAACCCCTGGTGATGGGTGAGTACTCATGAAGAATCCCAAACTAGGACGAAACAACTCTGCGGTACTCCCAGGTTTTCCAGTGGTTCCCTTACTGATGTCAGCCCGTGATGAAATCCTCCATGCAATCAAACAAAATCCCTACAAAACCAATACTTGCAAAAGATAATTTATCTGTCATTTCTTTCGTAATCTTCTCTATACCTTTGCGAGGTATATATATACTTCTTCAGGATGTTTCCTTGTTTCCTCTTCCATGTAGAAGTTTGTGTTGGTTTGTATTGTACAAACTAGTTTAAACTTTCCCTCTCTTGTCACGTATTCTGATTTGTAGAGTAAGAGTGACTCTTTTTTTATTATCTCATCTCTCTTGTAGTCTGGTTCACCTATCTATACTTGACACTAAAAATAACTTTCCTCTTGGTCAAACTCCTTCTTATTTGATGATTGCACTTACTTATGGCCAAAAGTATTTTTGGTACAAACCATCATTTGACTAGCAAAAGAGGGTGTAACTGTCTTAGTTAGTAAATTGTATTTTGGACACGCCCAAGCATTTCTGACACCACGTTGACCATGTTGACCAGTGTTTAATATTTAATGAGTCAACAATTTTTGTTTTTACATCCTGTTTGTTTGTTTGTAAAAAAAATGTATGCATGTGTTATACGAATAACATGGTTATCTATTGATAAAGCTGTTAGCATACCTGTAATGTTGTAAAGCTCCACTGCTTTTAAGGGTTATTAATGTTCTGTGTGATATCAGTCAATCCATGTGTTCTTTTTATTTTTTATTTTTGGTAGGAGCGAAGTTTATTCAGTTACCATCTTTATTATCTATTATTATTATCTATCTTACCTTTAAGTGCTTTGACTGTCATATGTGTGCAGACATGTAGAATTTATTTACTGCAATTAGATGTATCCTATACCAGGGGACTTCAATTACATCTATACATTGGGCATTTAGTTTAATTTTAAACAGACGGCCGCAATTTTGTATTCCTGGTTATAAATGTTATGTTGTTTAACAACACAATACCTCATCCAACAGCATATTTCTTAGTATAACATATTTGAGGGCACTTGGAATGTCCTATCTGTCAGGAGGGCTTCGTGTGCTTTTGGAAGTGTGTGTGGGCGGTTGTTACTTCCCGACTGCCCACACTGTGGAAGTTGATTGATTCTCCGGGTACCTGAAACAGAAAGAAGGTTGGTGTTGCGTGACCGCAGAGCTCAGGGGACAACTGCTTGATAGTGGCCGGTCACACACGGCCTGTATGAACTGGTTTCTGGGATTGGTTGCGTAATAGTAAACTTACCGCCGGTTACAGACCACCGTAGGATAAGTCGTGATGTACAATTTTTGGGGTCGATCTTTTCTAACCCCATCTCTCCGGAGTGGAGAGACAGCATAGGTGGCTGGCATGCTGGTCATCTGAGGGAAACACCTCACTGCTGTTACACCCTGTTCCCCAGCAGTACGACTTCGTCCTCAGACCCATAGCATAGTGTAAGAAAGATTCTTACAGAATTCCGGTAACTGCTTTTAATCTAATCGCTATCCTAACAACCTTCCTGGCATGATAGGACCTTCAGGAACATTGGTTCCAGTCAGTGCAGCTTGTTGGGTCATCGCGATGTGCAAGTCCGACCACCACGTCAAGGTAGCAGCTATCGGTCAGGAATGTCCAGCTTGTCTCATTGTATTCAGTAGATGTATACATATAGATAGATATTACCCGTAATCTTTTATATATGTAAACATATTTTAATGATATTGCATCTGTCTCTGGTGGGTGAATGGACAATATATCTCTAGTTTCAGTACACCATGAGGACTACATTTTTACGCCCTGTTCCTACTTTCCTTTCTTTTACGTAGATAAAAAGTGCTACATCGTCTGTATGTTCACAAACTGATCTTGATATGACTAAGATTGATGATCAATTGAAAAGGTAAGTGAAACTGATACCGATATTTTGACAGTGCTTAGTTTTATGTGGAACTGTGACTACTAAGTTTAGGAAGTCGACTTTTAATAACTTTATCAAAATTTTGTGCGTTTTTTCATTTATACAAAGATATGGTCGCTCAGACATTTTTATTAGACTTCTTTTAGTGGACGTGGTTGCTGTTTATCTTATCAATTCGATAAACTTAGCATGACAATGATGTTCTCAGGTTTGATAATGGTAATTGTAATAATGATAATGATATAAGCTAGTCATTCTTTATCTCCTGGAGTGACCTCCGCTCTATTTAATTTATCGCGAATGGGCTATATTCTTTCCCACTTACATATCATACACTGGCAGCACTCATCTTTTCTAAAAGCTGTCTGTATTTTTTCCTACAGACCAAGTTCATTTCCTCTTTTCTATCGGTTTTTTATGCTTCGAGTATGATCTTGGATAACAATCAACGGTGACTAATGTCCCACACAGACTGGTTATGAAGCCTGAAAGTTTTGTCTCAGGAAACCAAGGCTATCTGGGTAATATTTGTCTGTTGTAGTACGCCTTTCTGAGTTGAACTTAAGTTGATCAAGCTACATGAAGTCACATTGTCCACAGACACACCCATTTCATCGAGGGTTTGTGTGAATACCATATCCAGTTTGTGTCATTGTATTCCCCTCTGGTCAGGGAAAATGGAAGGTATAAAGAGGCTAGCTGTATTTGACCCCTTATTCAGTAATAATGAGGTTAGGCGGTGTTGTAATAGGAGGGAAAGTCATTCAATGAGGTTGTGAAGCTCCATTAATTCGTATGTTAGGAAATGTTTTACGCATTCTAACCCGTGGTCTTTCTTGGCAGGCAATGTTAGTTGACACAGAAATAGTTAACAAAGAGTCACAGCAAAACATAGTATCAATCCACAGTGTTACTTAGTTAGAGTCACATAGGGAGGTATAGACTGTGTGACAAGGGTCCTAGAGACGCTAAGAACCATCGTTTGAAACAATGCAGATGCGATCGCTGTTTGCGATTTCCTAGGTTCATTAAATACTTATTTTTCACTGATACCCAGTACACAAGAGGTGGCTCTGATGAGTGGTCTAGTGGATGATATTTTGGCATTCAATGAAACCAATAGTCGTTGGATTTGAGTCGCAGTGGGAGCAACATCACTCATTGGAGACTCCAGATACATCCAGATGATGAGTCTGAAATAGAGTGAAATACACGCCTAATCACCATCCACCAAACAAGATTATCTTACTCCTCAGATATCGTCGAGGTGTCCATACTAGGAGCTAACTTGTTAAAAGAGGCGGAACATTTTGCTCCAATCAGTCAACGGAAAAAAACACTGACTGAAACATATTTTAAAAGCTGCCTAATAATGTAACTCTGATTAGTGCTCCCAATGGAAGCAATGGACTATTGAACTATTGTATTATTATTGTTTCCTTGGGTTCCTAGTGGAACATAGGGCTTCAACTGCACGTCTCCACTTGCCACTTCTGTCTTCTGCTGTACTTTTCACCTGCATCCATGTTAGTCCATACTGTTTCAACTCCTCTTCATACGATCTCCTCCATGTCACCCTTCCACTGACGTCCCACTCGCCGCTTCCCTTTCGGCCTGGTTCCACTCAAGCAATGGCCTGACGCGCGATGTCACGCAGTGGTCTCCTCAGCGAGAGTCCAATCCATCTCCACTTTCTCCTGTATATTTGCTGCTTGGTGATTGGTTCTTGTTTTGTTTGTTCCCAGCCATAATTTCTTGTTGGTGATTCTTTCCGGCCCGGCCATCTGATCTTCAATATAGAGCCAGCGAAGACAGTTGTTGGTTGATAAGGTTCTGCAACAGGCTGTTGGAAATATTCTTTGTGACCCGCCCGCCAACTTTCTGATCCATATAGAAGAACTGATTGTCTTGACGTTTGTATTGAAAATCCGACTGAATTTTGTTGTTGATGGTGGCTGAGTGACGAAGATTTGCAGATTGGTTTCAGGTTGATGAGTGAATGTGTTTCTCGCCTCGATTTGACATCCTCGTCCATTCCGACTGCCTATAGTTGAGAAAATGCTCCCTAGATAAGTGAATGAAGTGACCTCTTTCAAATCCTTCACGTCGGTGGTGATTGGCGCTGGATATGGCTGCTGTTGTTGTTGTATTGTATAGATAACTTAAAGTTCGCTCTTTAAATCTAGTGTTCTATAAATATGTATTGGGTGTTTAAAAAAAATTAAAATGGCTGTATGGTAACTAATGAGTTTTCAGTTACCTCGATTATGAAAATAAACTATCTGAGTGATTAGTTAAGTATGAAGTATTTCTGTTCATTCTCCATTCTTCCGTTAAGTATAACCTACTACGCATGAATTGCATTTTGAACAAAATTAGTTAATATTTATTTCCTTACTGTTGAATATGCCAGACTTTTATATATATATTTGGTCACTATTTTCCACTTTATTATTTTGCTTAGTTTTCTCAAAATCATCTAACTGTATTATTGATAAGTAAACTTTTAAATATGAACAATTTCCCTTTTTATTCCAACCTACTTTTGCGCATTCTGTGAAAAGCTTTGTTACAAACCTTACTCTGACCACCTACACTTTGTTCCTTTTTTAAGAATAACAATAATAATGATAAAAATAACAATAATAATAGAAATAGTAAATTGTCACTTGGTGATACCTACTATTATTGTTTCTTATTGTTTTTTTATTTTTGACCCCACGAGAGTGGATTCTGCCATATCGCTTATCTCCACCTATTAGATGAAGTTGTCTTGGCAAAATAACTTTTTGAAATTTTTTTTAAAACCTTAGCCTAGATAGCTGTGTGAAACAATTACCTGTTACAAATAAAGTGTATCTCTTAGCCTTGTACATAAATAAACTTGTATCAGTTTGCTCATGCTACTCTTGTGTGTGTGTCGGGGTTCCAATCATAGAATGCTTGGCAAACATACACGTGTTTCGGGTCTGCTACCCGGTGGTTGTAATCCTAAACCTTGCCTATCAGGTAGAAAGGTTGGTAAAGTGGGAAGGTTGAGCTTGCGGGTGGTGACCCCGCCCCGTAAGAAAACACCACCACATACCTACCATACTCAAACATACCATACAATAGGATGGGATAGGATGACAGTTTTAAAATCTAATGTCACAGGGTGGAGGGAGAGATTGATAACAGAAGCTTTGTTTATCGAATCAACTGCAAATGCATGTAACAGGAATGATTCAACACCTGTTCCAGATACCTGGAAAATTCTACTTCCCCTATGATAAATAGGAGAGGACAAAGAAAACTATAAAACTCAAGTTTCAAAGTCGTGTGATTTCAATTGATAGGATTATGAACAATAAATTTTGTTCGAAACGTCATCCAGTAAATAATACTGTTTCACTGTGTGATACATCTAATAAACAAACTAATATGGAATTACTTACTACTACAGTGCCCAAGTTTTACACATGTATTAATAAACACCACCACAACTTCAGAGCTCAAGTTTGAAGACTTATGTTCTACTTGATAGACAAAGAAATGAGAATAATTATAGTCTTGTAGAATGGGTTCAAATTTAAACCACACTTATCATCTGATTGATTGCATTTGAAACTTCAGTAAAATAAAACGCAACTCATTATAATGAAAATTCACGTTCATATCTGTCGTAGTATTAATCATAGTAACTTGGGTCTTTTCGATGTGCGTCGGTGGCACAGTGGTTAGGACTCTCGCCAACCATACACATGGTCCGAGGTTCGATCCCCTGCCGACGCACACCTGATATCAATGGTCGGCCTGCAAAATTTGGGCTACTGATATCCATGCTGAAAATCCCATACTTGTACCAAAAATACAGTGTGGAATCAAGCTGTAAATAAAAAATAAAATAAAAAAAAAAAACACTTTGTTTTAATCAGTAATCACTGATATATATATATATATATATATATATATATTAGACAACACTGTTTTGCATTCTTTATTGTTATTATTATTATTTCGTCTTTACATATTAGATGACATCTAAATCGCATACATTGTAAGAAGAGTCTAAAAGTTATAAGCAAACAAGTACTTTTGACTCTTTCATGCTTTTTCCAGTAAAAGTTTCTCAGTTATAAGGTGGAGTGTTGCTTGGTGTTCTATTTAAAAAAATTTATTTAGTACTCCTGATACTTATGCAACTGCATGGATTTTTTTAAATGTTACCTTTAGACCACGGTTACTGTCTGACTTTGTCGTATTCCGTTAGATATACACCAGTCTAACCAAAATCAATAAACATCACAGCAGCCCTTGTATGCATTTCTTAGATTTCTCTACTTGAGTGTTTTTTGTCCCCTTTTTTTTACAACAAACAAGTAGACTTCATTTCTCCACTTACTTAAATTTTTTTTGATTTACTAAAAGCAGAAAACACAATGACACTATAGGAATAGGAATGTACATATATATGTATGTATATATGTATATTCCGTTGTATACATACCTTGCCCTTCTAACGTATATCTTACTTGATATTATTAATGATTAATATTTAACAAGTGGAATACAGTGTTTAATGTCAGTACTTCTCATTAATGTATTCTATAGTCGTAGTAGTAGTAGTAGTAGCGATATTATTCTGTAGTTTTTCAGTTAGTGTTATTATTTTAGTATAATAAAATATTTCTCTCTTGATTATACTTACAACAACTGTGTTGTTATCGTTGTGATTGTTGTTGTTTGTCCTTCTCTCTTTCAACCTCTTAAAATTATTGATGTTATGGTAATTATTTCATCGTTGTTTTGCATTCCTTGACTAACCCGGCCGATAACTGCTACCTTGTCGTTGTGGTCAGGCTTGAATACCGTAATGACCCAACTTGCTAAACTGACTGGGACTCATGTCCCTGTAGGTCCTACCATGTCAGGGAGGTTGTTTGGATAGCGGTTAAACTAAGAGCAGTTACCTTGGGGTACATGGGCTCCAGTATCCGATCAGATCAAATGGCGTATGAACCCATATGGGTCACCGGAAACAATGGGAATGCAGCTCCTGACGCTGCTCCGCTGCCTTGGGGATTAGACTCTAAGTCAAAGGCTCGGGCGGGGTGTGGTCCCTTAATAAAACCACCTGCTTCAATCTGGGTGCCCAGGCAGTATCTCAGTCCTCACACAATGAATCAAATGAGTGTGGCGCATCCCTCTTGGTGCCATATTGTACCAAGTTTTTATGCGTTTAAATAAATAATAAATAAATGAGAGAAAAAAACATGAAGAAAGGGGGGGGTGCAACATGGAGAAACAAATTTTTGGTGTCTTTTTAATTTAACTTTATATTAATTACAAATCAATAATCCTTCACTGTATATTATTTATTGGTTATATATGTTTATTTTTGTTTCTGTTATACTATTGTTTTCATAGTTTCACAATAGGTCTAGAATTTTATCACAAAATGATTGTGTCTATAATTGATGTCAGTGAGAAATTGAAACATGCATTGAATACACACATTGTTGAACAGTATTCACTGATGAATAGTGATACATCATCGGTTAGTGTTGATGATGATTATTATAATAATAATAAACAAGTACTTGGAGGAGAGAAACGAAGTGAACTAAATGGTATGTTGCACTTATATTTTGTTGATATTTTTAAAATTCATATTCGTATATATTGTTTATTGGTGTGAAGGTTAGTGTTAATTTACAGGCATATGATCGGCTTCAAGTTTCATCACATATTGAGATCAATTAGGGGAACAAACCAGAGGGCCATTTTAGTCCTAGTATGAAGCTTTTTGGCGGTACACACACCTTTGATCTCACCGGGGATCAAACCCAGAACTTTCAGGTTAGTAGGGTTTCACGAAAGGGATCAGACTTGAAATCAATCGAATCTCTACAGACTGATACTCGGAAATTAGTTTGATGCTCACTACTGACGAAGTTGTGGCCATTGGGGTCCATCAGAGCGGGTGTGAAGTCAAGTATTCTCCGATGATCCTTGTTTGGCAGTGGGCCATTGGATTATGTCTCATTAGCTGAATGGTCGACGGGCTCGACTGATAACCTGAAGATCCTAGATTCGATTCCCGGTGTAGTCATATGTATGTGCCACTAAAGACTTTCAAACAAGGACGAAACATCTGCCCAGTACTCCGGGGTTTTCAATAGTTTTCCATTTGTGATCAAACGCTTCGCGAATTATTCACTTTATGTAGATTTTATCCTGACTTAGAGACGCGTTTCTACTAGATTGAGTATCAGTTACAAATACACCGAAAAGTATAGATCTCTAAGCTTCACTATGGATATAGGACCCAATCTACAAAGACACAATTGTTCGGTAGTCTTTGCTTTCCACTGGATGTCTTATTGAATAACAGTCTTTAATTAAATTTACTTTACTATTAGTTGTTTGTGTATTGGGAGTTCACCACTGCATCGTAATCTGTTGGTAAATTTTTCAAGAATTTACGGTTTGATCTCAAAGCTTTCGTTGTCATCACTGAACAGCTTATTCTGCAATTGCCTTAGCTGAATAATGGAGATCATATGACCGAGAAAGATTAAGCAATAAGGAACTTTGGCAGTCAGTAGGAATCAGCAAAGAACTCTACAAATACGCAAGGGGAAGTTGAAATGGATTGGACACACATTATGCAAACTACTTGATGAGATCGTGTGTCAGGCCTCCAAATGGTACTCGGATTGAAAACGACGAGTTGGATCTCTGAGGGTGACATTAAGGAAATTGTGTCTGGAGGAAATGGAAGCTTATGGGATATCATAAAGCAAGCTATAGAGGACTGTAGAAAACATAGTGAAATGGCCATGTGCTATTAAAGCCGTATGTTTTACTCAGTACCCAAACGATGAATAGTAATAATAATCCTTTCATTCAATCTCTGAAAGTTAATTATATTGATTATGTGACCATAGCGTTTCTATATGAATATAATTTATACACGATTGGATTTTGCGAATTTTAGCCTCCACAAACAGTGTGATGTAATATTAACTATTATTGGATATTATCGACAATATTTTGCGATTGCGTGCCAGTGCATTAAGTACATACTGTTTAACCATGCATCAATGACGACACCGTACAGGGAATCCATCTTCAGATTTAGACACTCTGGTAGTCCCCATACACACATCATACATCACCCGTTCTTTATAAAATATATTTTCCTATTCGCCTTGTTTGTAATCTTATTGGAAAAACCACCATCTGTGCCATCCGTATATGTGTCTGTTAAAATCAACGAATTTGCAATTACAGGTCTTGAAGCGTCGGTGGCATAGCTGTTAGGACGCTCGCCAACCATGCACATGGTCAGTGGTTCGATCCCCACCGACTCACTCTTTTACCTCGCTAATCCAGAAATAATGCTGGTTAAGAGGAAAGGTTGGACACGAGGTTAGCAACCCCATCCTGTAAAATAAACACTGCTACAGGAACTTAAAGCCACTAGCTTGAAGCCCTGTAGTTCCACTGGGGAACGTGAAGGAAAGAAAAAAAAACAGGTCTTGAGACGATGTTTCAGATAATCTGCATTCCTCTTTCATTTTATTTTATTCCGAATACTCTATTTATGCTAAGTAACCGAGTTGATGTAAACTGTTGGATTATAAATGTTTAAAGTACTAATCTCACTAATTTCTCACTAATTAAAGAATCAATAATTAAAATAAAGTAAATATTTATCGAGTTCAGTATGCTTTACTTTCCATGTTAACAACATAATAAAAAGTAAGCTAACATGAAATCTTAAACGTGCTCCTCAAAATAGAATTTACATTCTTTCTTTTAATTGTTCAAAAGCCTATCAGAATAGAATATTTCTATTTTTGAGATTATCTACCCTTTTTTTTTTGTTCTTCACCTCACTGAGAGAGTAGTATTATGCGTCTCAGTAGTTACAGCAATAACTAACTAACTAGCGCTTTCTGGTTTTACTAATAAGCTTGTCTTGCATACTTGCGCTGATATATTCTCACACGTTATAAGTGTAACTAATTTCAAGATGGTTATTGAATTTTTTTTTTACTAAGTAACCACTTATTTGGTTGGATAGCCGTTATATAGATGAGTATAGAGATGTGAAGCTTATCGGTTTTATAAAACAAAGCTGCTGTATTTTATTAGTGTTTATGCTAAATGAAACTAATTTAACATAACTTTTCTTATTGATCTCAATTTGTAAGCATAGTATTCCTCTCAGCTAACTGAAACCTAAGTTATAAGCCTCACACATATTCTCAGAGTTACGTATAACACAGTCTATCATGCATACAAATAAGGTAAATAGCATTAATCTTATGTGTTGATAATTCGAGCTACCACACTTGATGTTTACGCGTAGACTGATATATGTAGTAAATGGTAAAATCTCCTCCTCGCCACATGAACCTCTCCATGTCACTCTCGGTCGATCCATTCGTCGCTTTCCATCGGGATTCCACTCGAGCAATGTCCTGCGGCGCGACGGTATTAGACGGCCTCCTCAACGTATGTCCGACCAACCCATCTCCACTTTCTCCTACATATTTGTGGAGCAATCGGCTCTTGATTGATTTTTTTTCCAGCCAGAGTTTCTTGTTACTAATTCTTTCTGGCTTGACATTTGTTGTTCAGTATGGAGCCCGTGGAAGCAGCTGTTGATAAAAGTTTGCAACCTTGTTGGACATGCTTTTCGTGACACACAGTGCAAGTTTCTGACCCGTATAGAAAGACAAATTTCAAATTTGTGTTAAATATCTGAATCTTGTTGTTTATGCTTAGTGTAGAAGATTTCCAAACTGGTTTCAGTTTGATGAAGTCGTATCTCACCTTTCCGATTCTGGCCAGTTTTGACATATTCATCCATTACGACTGCCTGTGATTGAAACGATGCTTCCTGGTGAGATAAGTGAATTAAGTAACCTCCACCAAATCTCTCCCGTTGAGTGAAATTGATGAATTATCAATTCCACTCATGTATATAAACGAATTAAAAAAGTTATGTGAGTGACTTGATATGATTATGAGCAATAGTTTGTGCTCTCGAAACGTGGTCATCAGTTAATATTCCTGTAAAACACTGTGTGATTTATCAAAATAAGATCTTATCTATAATGGTGTTTTTGTCGTTGCTAGTTATTTATTTTTTCCTAATGAAGTCTTACTACACTTTTCTCTTTACAACATGTATAAACTTACCTGGCGCCGGGTTCAGAGTGATCAAGAATGCTCTGACCTTGGGTGGAGGCTCACCATTGTACCTCGGTGGGTTTAAACTCGCGACGGACCCTAATTGGGTTCGCTCGGGCGTACAGTTTTTGTCAGTGGGGATGCCTCACGGTCTTTCCTTTATTTTGTGCGTCGGTAGCACAGCGGTTAGGACTCTCACCGACCATGCACATGGTCCGGGGTTTGATCCCTTACCGATGCACACCTGCTATCTATGGTTGGCCTGGAAAATTTGGGCTACTGATATCATATGCTGAAAATTCCATGCCTGTACCAAAAATACTGTTCAGTTTCAAGCTATAGTAAAGAAATGCACCTATTCCATTTTAAAAAGGGTTTCCTGAATTATATTCCACTCTTTGTTATTCTTTATTTTCGTTCTTTCCATCATATAGTTGAATTTCTCAGTGATTTAATGGAGGAATGTAACCAGCTACTCTCTACCAATGTTCTTCTATCCGATTCAACGTTTTCAGAATATTTACAAACAGATTGCCAATCGCTAACGTGTATGTTGTGATTTATATTATGCAAGCCTTTTTTTTAGTATGACAGTATTTTAATACACACACACACAGGTTTATTATAGTGTTTGTTAAATAATGTTGTTTCTTAATTTGACTATTTGGTATATTTCGATTGTTTTCATGTTTTGAATGAGTTTGTTGCATTGTGAACTATCATGGTACACTTTTTTTAAATAATAGTTATTTCGCTTATTTCCAAAATAAATAGTGTAATAGTAAACACTATTACTCATCAAGGTAATCCAGTATGCAAACGTATCTAGAATTTTAGACCTTTATTTCAACCAGGTGTTTTTGATTGTTTGGACAAAAAAAAGTCAATGCGCAAATGGAGCAGGATGAAAAAGCATAGAATTGAGAAAGGCGTTAGAAGTGTTTGACATATTGTGAATACAAAGTGAAGTTGGCTAAAAACACGTGTGTAACGAATGATTCATTTGCACTATTTGATTAAGATTAACATTGTTTAACTATTTATTCATCGATAGATAGATAGATATATGATCTGCTTAACTATCGTGCAAGGCCTTATTTTTTGTATTTCCTCGATACTATGCTCATTTTATGAACTTTAAGCTTATCAAATAGCGGTTTTAGATATAATTCTTATTTTCTATAGCTTGGTTTCTAAGGGTTAGTTTTGGTTTTACGAGTTGATCACCGATTGATATCAGTTAGAGAACCATTGAAAAGCAGGGAGTACTGCCAGGGCTCGAACCCAAAGACCTCCCGGTTACAAGGCGAGCTCGTATACCATTGAGGCACTGGGACCCGATTCAATGGCTCATGAATTATAACTTCTACGAGCTTGTGATTTTAGCGCGACCCCAACCATTGTCGTTCGAACCATAATGGGTGCGTACTGCCGATGATTCCCAAACTAGGATGAAACAGCGCCTGTCCAGTACTCCAATGCTGGTTTTCAATGGTTCTCTTACTGATATCAATCCGTGATCAACTCGTAAAAATTCTTATTTTGCTTAATATGAAACGTGTACATTTTCTGATCCTAAAGTGTTCTGCTCACTTGTAAATATTGTTAACATGTTTCAGTGTTATCTAATTTAGAACTGTATCTACTTAATATGGTTTTGCTGTACACGCAGACATGGGACTTTGATAATACTTAATCGAATGGAGTTAGTTTTTTGGTTATAGTATTCATAAGATTCATGATATTTTTAGGAAGAAAAATGTTGTTTATGATTTATCTCTAAAATCATCATTTATCATGACGTAACTTGTGCGATTGGAATCGCTTTTCAAGTAACTGAAGATTGAGTGTTTCAACCAGCATTTAATAATTTCAGTGGAATGACACTCCTCCATCAGGTGGAGGGGTAATACTGTTAATCGTAAATATTTTATATGTGAACTCACTAAGTGTTTCTATTCAATTATTTGAATTTATAGATTCCTATATTTCTAATTAAAAGTATTCCTTGCTATACAAATAGTTCAAGGCATACTGAAGTTTTGAATACTGTAAATCTTAAGAATTATTCGTTCTGTCTGTCTGTCTGTTTTCGACATAGAACTTTGCATCGATATGCGGCAGTTCAAGTCGCCACACTCTATGTATCACACAAAGCAAGAGAACAAAGACAGTGGATAGAGATATAAGACAAAAAGAATAGTAACAACGAAGAACAATATAGTTTCACTGGAAATCATAAATCACAAGGAGTGGATACATCTGCACTGTCATCCAGAACGATTTTGAGCCATATCACCAATTGTTTCCAACCTTTAGTTTTTACCGTCCCGAGGAGCCCAACCTACTTGGCTTAAACTAACTGTTGTAGACTTCATTGACTGGTGAGGCCATGTTTTGGTTTGACCGCCGTTAGCTCTTTTCCAGCCTGACCAATCCTATGTTAGCTAACGTATTGCCCATTGTCGAGGAAGGCGATCGATGACTAGGCATACGTAACACATGTCCTAACCATCTTAGTCGATGTAATTGTTTCACAGCCTCGTCGATTGATTTCCCCTCCTTACCTAGCACTCGACGCCTAACCTCAATATTTTTATTCGTTCTTAACTAATCGTAGTCCTAGTTACGCTAAGAATACTATTCATATTACTAATCCTAATAAAACTATCTCTTGAATTTCTAAAATAAAATAGTTACAGTCAGTCAATTATTGCCTGAAATTGATAATCTTCTAAAACTGTGCCAATTCAACCGAAGGGAACAAGTGATTTCATCAAAGAATGCCTCACCTCAGTCAAAACAAGTGCATGACAACACCACCTTTTCAAAAGATGGAAGTGATGATATTGAAAACACTGAATTAGTGCGTAGCCTGCGTGAACAATTGTCAACTGCTCATCAAATGTTAACTGAAAAGCTACCTGTGGATACAAAGAATGGTAAAAGATTTCTTTGCTTTTAATACATATTGCTCATTGTTATTGTTATATATATTTTTTATTATGTGGTATTTTAATTCAACCTGATTACTGCGTTTATGCAGTGGCTTTTAAGATAGTCCTAGGTCATAGGTAAATAGTACACCATTACAGTGCATTATTTGCTAGTACACAGTATCACTAACAGTACCGTTTAACTGTATTGCATGTATAAAACTTGGGAGCTGTGGTAGTATGTAATTCTAATATTATTTTGTTTATTGGATATATCACTCAGTCAAACAGTATCATTCACACAAAATAGGTTGGTAAAGTCTGAATAGTAATTAATTATGTGGAAATGTCTATGACAATAAATAGAAATGGAATGTTCTACATGCGATGAATATATATACATCTGTCTGTCTGTTTTGCACCGATGTGCACCAGTTCAAGTCGCCACACTCCCTCCTTGTAGCACACAAAGCAAGAGAAAAAAGTACAAGAAAAGCATAATAGCGACAGTAAGCAGAGGTGTGAGACAAAGGAATAGTAATAACGAAGAACAATATAGTTTCATTGGAAATCATAAATCACAAGGAGTGGATGCATCTGCACTGTCATTGAGAACGATTTTGATCCATATCACCGATCTTTTCCAGCCTTCATTGGTTTTTACCGTCTCGAGGACCCCAACCAGTCAGAAAGTCTACAGCTTCCTACGTGACTGGCTGAGACTAACTGTCGTGGATTTCATTGGCTGGTGACATGTTTTGGTTTGACCGCCACCTGCTCTTTTCAACGTGATCCTATGTGAGCCACCATTGCCCATTGTCAAGGAAGGCGATGACTAGGCATACACAACACATGTCCTAACCATCTCAGTCGATGTAATTTCACAGCCTCGTCGATTGATTTCCCCTCCGTACCTAGAACTCGACTGGTGGCTAACCTCAGTATTGCTCACCTTATTATACCACTTCACACGGGAGATAGAGCGCAGGCACCTATGATCAAAGACAGCTAATGGGCTTTTCATGTCTTCCATTCTCAATGGCCAGGTCTCACAGCTAGCCATAAAGGAGGACGGAGCAGTACACCCGCTTTTTGGTCGACAGTCAGCCGGATATCATGTCTACTAAGCCAGAGACGGCGTAAACTGGCAGGCATATACGAAACTAGCCCTCTGTATCCGTGCTGAGATTTCGTCAGAGATCAACCCGTTGGCGTTGGCTGATGGTACTTCCCAAATAAGTGAATCGGTCAACGTGCTCTACCACTTCACTCCTTATTTCTAAACTAGGAGTCAGTGTAGTCCAGTTCTGTAACATCATCTTACATTTGGTGTGAGCGAATCGCATGCCATATATACATAGTGAGTGTAAACTGTTATCAATTCTCGACGCAACCATTACTGACATACCACCACCTGACGATCCACCCTAACAACTCACTCCATATTAGATCAGTACAGTGAGTGATACACTGTTGACAAGGTGGATGACATTTTTTTTGAGCACAACTTATTGTTCATAATGATATCAAACTTCTGCAGGTTACTCATAGTCAAAATTTATTTTCCTACAATATGAAAACATGGTTTAATGTGATAGTACTATTCAACAATAATAACTTGTATCAAAAATATAAAATAACCTATACATTCCATTCGTCGGTGGCACAGCAGTAGAATGCTAGCCAATCACGCATGTTGTTCGGGGTTTGATCCCTGGCCGACTCATTCCTTTACCTCGGTAAGCCAGTAATAAAACTGGTAAAGGGGGAAGATTGGGCATGAGGCTAGCAACGCCTATCCCTTAAAAAAATAAAACACCGTTGCTACCGACACTTCAACTCCCTAGGTTGCAGCCCTATGTTCCACTGGGGACGTAAAAGAATAAAATAATAATAATAATAGGAAAATATGCATTCCAGAAGTTTCTCAGGTATATAGTACGAACCGTCTAACATGTCTGATTGAAAAAGCAAAATAGTAAACTAACTGGGAATTAATAAAAATATTCCCAACATGGTGGATGGGATCAAAACTCTGTCTGTGAGAATCGAATAGAACCAAGTACAGTTCCCTCAGACAGTTCACTTACAAGTTGTTACTCCCAGATTTAAGCTTAAATACATTTAAGCAAAATTTGCAATAGTAAAATAACGAATTATTATCAACAATCCACGATTACATAACAGAAAGGTGAAACACTAACAGAGACAAATAATAAGTATCATGTCAAAAACAGATGCGCAATTGTTAGAATGATAATATTGTAGGTAAGAGAGAAGCATAATAATTACGAAATTAGCTGAAATATCCAACTATTGTATCAACTATTGTAAATCGACTTTTCATGGAGGGATTTTCAAATCAATTACAGTACTGTAATAGCGTCATAGATTCCCTTTTTTTCATATTACCAGTTAAAAGCATCTTTCGTTATATATATATATATCCTTAAAATTGTAGCTCTTCTTGAAACAAGTCAGATTGTCGAAACAGAACGTATTCAACTGCAAGCTGAAATGGATCGTCGTATGTTAGAGTTTGAGAGAAATCATAATGCATCAGTCATTGAATTGGAAGCGAATCGACGTGATTTAGTTAAACAACTTGAAGAGATGGAAGTATTTAATCGTGAATTAAAAAATGAAATCTTTTCAGTTCAACAAAAACTTCAAGCTAAAGTAATTTATTTATTTATTTATATATTGTACCTTTTTTGTTTTGAATCCTTTCAATTTGAATTGGGTAGTTTGAAGAAAAGAAACAGCGGTTGTTTATTTTTATTTTTGCCTAATTCGATTCATATATTCTTTAAGTATTTGGAATTCATATTTCTTAAAATTTCACTTTGATATTTCATAAAAGAGTGAAGATAACTAAGTTGACAGAATATTAAAAATAGGAGAATACAAAGTGATTGGAAATAGGTGTCCAACATTTAGTGAAAGTTTTCAAGTGTTGGTTTGTAGGGATTTGATTGGTTACAGGATTTTCATCATGATCTGATATTAGTTAGAGAACCATTCGAAAACCTGGGAGTACTGGACAGCTGTTTCGTCCTAGTTTGGGACTCTTCATCAGTACGCACCCACCGCCAGGGCCCTAACCCCAGGACCTTCTGGTTGCAAGGCGAGCTCGTACACCATTAAACCACTGGGACGGGACCCGATCCAATGGCCCACGAATTCTAACTTCTGCCAATTCATGACATAGTGCAACCCCAGGCAATGTCTTCGGCGAGTATTTGTCCTCACACCCGACCGGCTGCTACACCCTACTGGTCATGAACTCTATCATTTCCTTCTGCGTTTGATGTTGGCTTTAAGACGTACTAACTGGAGTCGGTAACTATTAGTTTCTTTTCAGTAGTAGTTGGTTTGTGAGGATTAGATTTGTTTTTACGAGTTGATCACGGATTGATATCAGTTAGAGAACCATTAAAAGCCAGCATTGGAGTACTGGACAGCTGTTTCACCCAGGACTTTCCGGTTACAAGACAAGCTCGTATACCATTCAGCCACTTGGCCACAATTCAATAGCCAGGCCACAAATTCTAACTTCTTCCAGTTCGTGATTGAGTGCGACCACCAACCTGTATCATCGGTGGGACACCCATCCTCACCCTTGACTGGATGGACCTCACTGGTCACGACTTGTCACTGGAACTCCAGGAAAATACGTCCTGTAGCAAGTAGTTTCTGATATATAAAGAACATTGGATAGGACGTTAACACAATAGTTACCCCAGTTATTGTTTTACATCATTCAAGTGGGATTACTGAACCTTAGCAACTCATATATCACTTAAATCCTTAATTGATATGATTATGAGCAATAAATTTTGTTCCAAACGTCATCCAGTGAATAATACTGTTTCTTCATTTTGTGATACATCTAATAAACAAACTAATATGGAATTAAATTCTTTGCCTTTATGAGATTGTCATGTAAAGGTAAAGACTATTTGATCATTCTGAACGATTCTCATTTGACTAAGCTACTTGTTAGTTTCCCACGCTTCTGTGTATTTTAATCAAAGTTCATTTTTAAAAAGTTTTTCACTAATTCTACATTCAGTATATACGTAGTTGTCACAGATGAAAAGTAATTTTATCTACTGAAATTCTCGCTGCTAACTAATGCTGCAGTTATCTGCTCTGAATGCTCATGTACAACTAGTTTAGGTAACTGATGCGTTCTCAAGGTTCAATGACATTGATCTGTCCGAAGACTATTCACATTATGTATTTTCACCTCCATATAGTCAGATTTTTAATAGTTTATTTGAGATAAGCTACCAGTTCTATCTGATTCAAAAATAAGGTAATCATTTGTAGCTACTATTTTTTTTTGGGATTACACCTTATCCTTCAAATTGACAGTATAGTAATTATCTCATATTTGTGCTACATTTCCTTTTCAACCATCTTCTTTATTTATATAGGAAAGATTTTTGAATGAACAAACAGAAGAAAGAGAACTAGAAAGAGAAGAATTCCGTATTGAATTGAATCGTCTTAAAAATGAACTGGACGCAAAAAAGTTAGTAAAATTGTTATAAAAGTGATAGCTTAACTTTGCATATCTTTTATATCTGTTTAAATGACTGCTTGTCTAAAGTGTGTGCATGTCCTGGAAGTGTATGGTATTCAAATATCTAGTTGGTGTAGAATCCGATTAATTGCAAGGTTTATTTTCATGCATTTGGTTCCCTTGATAAATTTTGATAGAGAAAGAAAGACCGGTTTTACAGTATAAAATGATATCATTCTATTTCACAGGTTCTCATCAGCTGCAAACTACCTGAAATTACAATGGTTATAAATAATAACATTTCATACTTCATTGTTTGAAAGGTAATAGAGGGAAAATTATGTGGTGAACGCATCTGGAATATAAGTATTACAATTTATAGTTTAAGTTACCATCAATTTATATACTATCAAAATATAAAGAAAGAAAAAGGAGGGGGGTGAGAGAAGACAATTGCAGTCAAACGTCTCAGATCAACGTATGAACACAGAAAGAGAGTGTAGTCAATCTCTCACTCCCTTGGTAACTATATCACTTTCATTACACTGATTATTCATACACACTAATGGGCTCAACTCACTAAGCAAGTTTTCAAATTGATGAACTTTGACCTTCTTGAGTTGCCATGTTGACACTGTTTATTAGATTTTTCTGTTTTCTATCTTCTCTCACCCCCCTTTTTACTTTTTTTTCCATAGTTTGGTAGTATATAAATTGATGGTAACTTAAACTATAAATTGTAATACTTATATTCCAGATGCGTTCACCTTATAATGTCTTCTCTATTACCTTTCAAACAATGAAGGTTGATTTTGTTACTAACTAAAATCAGCTAGAAGCCGTCGACAACTTAGAAGCAGTATCTTCCCACTTTGAGACGCTTAACTGTTTACACGCTGAGGATTTATTTGGGAAGTCGTGATTGATTAGATCCTCAAAGCTGGCTGTACGGATACCCCTACTTGTAGACAATGTTTCAACTCATCAACAATGTGGTAAAGTTGGAAATGTAATGACATTTCTGAATTGGAAGGTATTCACTTATTATTATTCTGACAGGCCTATTTCTGTGCTTTGTCTAAGTCTGGTGGGTGTAAGTATTATTATGGAAAGTCTTCTTGAATGAAACAAGCGTCCAAACAAGGCTACTCGATTTCCAAGCGTTTCTCAGGTCATTTTGATCCTTAAAAAGATCCTTAATGTTTTATGAAATATATAAACTTCCACTCATTTTATCATGATGATGTTAAACTGAATAGGGCACTGAGATTTAAGTTGTACTTTATCAGTTTAATATGTAAGTGGAAAACGGTGTATGTAATATGAGAAGTGTTAGTACTGTAGAACAAAGGTAGACCTAATGCAGTATTTCATTTTGCTATGCTCTGGGTCAGAAGCACCTAAATTAAATTATTTATACTATCGATTTCAGTTTCATTGTAAAGTCCGAGTTACCGTCTCACACTAATCTTTACTCCACGATTCATTTTTTTTTGTTTTTTTCCATTATTCTGAAGTTTACTGTGTATTCACCCTTATTATCACGTTGTCTCAATCTAGATTGACACTGTCTGGTTTATTGCTGTATAACTGATTCAGTGTGTGATTTCAGTTAGGAGGACTACATTCTATGTGTATTATTCGTCAGATGTATTGTTAAATTGGATGCTTACATGATTAAACTGAAGGAGGATTGATACCTTTACTTTTATATTATTATATTATTGTTCCCTTGGGTTCCTAGTGGAACATAGGGCTTCAACTGCACGTCTCCACTTGCCACTTCTGTCTTCCTTCTGCTGTACTTTTCACCTGCATCCATGCATGTTAGTCCATACTGTTTCAACTCCTCTTCACACGATCTCCTCTATGTCACCCTTGCACTGACGTCCCACTCGCCGCTTGCTTCCCTTTCGAGTTTCCACTCGAGCAATTGCCTGACGCATGATGCCTTTACTTAGTTGAATAATATGCTATGTGATTTATTAGTGTTATTCCTTCTCTTTTTTTTCTGTAGATCTCAGCTTATGTCGTACAAATTAATGGAAGCAGATAATACTGATTCGTGTACAACACAATTAGGCATGAAAGAGACAACCCAGACTAATTGTATTCCAAATTGGATAAACAACATGAAACTAGAGAATTTAGTTCAAAGTGAATCGGCTAGACCAAGTATTCAGTTGTTTGTAAACTCAAAGTCATGGAATACAACAACACCACAATGGAATAAATCATCACATGATGATTCTGATGATGAAATTTCAACTGGAAATGTAAATACCACTGCATCAAAAGATCAGTATAGATATACAAGCTGTGAAAATAATTGGCAACCTTATACTACTGCTACTACTACTATTCCACCAATGATTAATAATAGTAGTAGTTTTCTTGATTCACGAGATAATACACCAGATAATGAGAGTATACGAAGTTATTCAGATGATATTCGCAAAAAACAAACAACATTAATCGATGATTCAAATGCCTATTCACAGTATGAGTTGAACTTATGCGATGCTTCTACACAGGTTCGTTTTAGCAGCGGTTTTTTTCCCGCCATCTTATTGATCTATATTATTTTAATATTCAAAATATTAGAAGTAGGTCTTTTAAAATACTGAAGGGTTAGGATTTTGAATAAAGTAAGAACAACAGTGGTTTGTGCAGAATAACATGGTACCATCACTCACTTCGTTGGCTTCTCATCAGCTGCAGCTTACAGCCTAAATAAATTATTAGGTTTACGTACAGAAAAGTTTTAACATACTTGCAAATTTTACATGTTGTCAGTTGACAGAAAGTTCCATAATTAGTAAACGGTGTTCAGAAAATTGCGCTTATATAATTTTTTTTACAAAGGTAGTTGAAGTTTAAACAAAATAAATGTATGCATATAATGGTAAAGAAGTTACGTAATAAATATGAGATGTGCGTTAGATGCATAGTGACTAATAAATTAGGTAACAATGTACTGAGTTGAACTCAAATCATAGACACAAGAGACAAGCAAAATTACAGATTATAAAAGGAAGGTGAGGTTAAAGACAAAGGTTACGTGATCAGATGCGAGAATAAAGACATCCAGTTACCACCATGGGTAAGGAAAGACTAATTACTACTTCTTTCTGAACACATAAATCTGGTTTGAAGCGTTTGATAGAAATTGCTTCGGCAAACTTGAGGAGATTGGATCTCTTTTGTCTATTGATAATTTTCAAGGATTTCTCGATTTCCACCTCATAACCCGTGTTGAGGAGATGTCTGGTAATAGCGCTACTATAAGCGTTTGTTCCCTTGAGACGTAGGCTTTTCGGCACATGTTCAGAAAATCAGAGGTATGCCCTTCTTTCTGTTCTTCCAATGTAACTGCTCCCGCAGATACACGTAAATTTGTATACACAGTTGGAGTTAACATGAGAAGGGTATCTATCGACTTTTGACTGCACCAAAGACTGCACATTTTGCTGAACTGTTATTCCAAGTGAAAGCTTTTACGGCCTGTTTGTCGCCTTCTGTTCTCTTTGTACTCTTCCCAGGACATATATTGATAAACATACTGTGTGAAGTTGGTATCTACAGTGTCAGTGGGCTAAAAAGCAAAATGAAATTTTCGACTTCTTTATTAAATATCACATGTCAAAGTACTTTTGTAATATTGTTCTCAGGTGAGATGATAGCAAAACAGACTTACGAGGTTATAAGCCTCAAGTAACCAAAAAGTTACAGAACTCAGATGGTACGATAGATCCACAATGCAATTGAGTTTAGAGTTTAGCTTCACGAAAGAAATAACTGCAAAATCCTTATTTTGTGCTAGCTAGTTCCATTAATGGTTTGGGTTAGGGTAGAATGCCCGCTAAATATGCAGGAGACCTAAGTTCGATCCCATGTCCGACGAACTCTTAGACCTGGTCCATTACACCTATCGGTAGTAAGCCCAGAAAAGATGGAAGATTGGCCGTGAGGTTGGCAACTTTACTCCGTAAACACAACACCGCCAACTACACTGAAATTTGAAAGCTTTAGGCCATATGTCTCACTCGGAACACGGGGCAAGAAAATAATTCATTCGATTCACGGTGTCACGCTTCCCTGCCTTTTGCCTTCGACTATTTCTACTTTATGAACAGCATGAGAAGCAATACTTTGAGGTATTTTAAAAAAATGTACGAATAAAAATAATACTCTTTGGCAACATCTTTTACCGATTAAAACCCCAAGAGGTGTAATTCGAAGGAAAAATTATCACGGGAGAGAGCATTTTTCGATAGTTCAAAGTTGAAACAGGCTACCTAGTAGTACATAAGCCTAAAACCACTGTACCAACCACCAGTGTCTTAGATAACTGAATGAGTGATAACAAAACCATTCTCTGCGACATCGTTGAATTCTTTGATGCGTTCAAGGAATCCAATTTTGTTTTAGTAGAGTACTGAATCACTTTTTGCTTTCACGTTACATAGTTTCTTTATCAACGATTATGATTTATCACTTTTCATGCAGGTATCCTTGGAGGATGAAGAAATAGGATTTAAATATCAGTATGCAAAGCAAACTACAAATTTCACTAATCAATCCTCTGTGGCGATTCAAACAGATATATGGTCTGCAGTCACTGTTGACGCAGCCAGTGAAACTTCTGTAAGCGACCCTTATTATTATGCATTATATATATATATATATATATATATATATATATATAGACATTAGGATGTAATGTTAAACTGCCCCCAACCCCTATGGCGTGGTTTGTTAAATTATATAAATAAAACTTGGATATAACTTTCCGAAATGCATGTTTAAATAACCTAGCGACACGATATAGTATTCAGCTCAACACTACGGTCTACTCTTTTTTTATGCATTACTCTGTGCAAACTATATTATGATCACTAGATCTTCACACGAATGGACACTGGCAGATTTTCTCTAATGTGAACTGGTAGTACCATAATTATTTACACAATAATATTGAAACGCGTATCCCAAACAGCGAATGGGAGATAATATATTCACAGATAGAAAAAGTATCATGGAAGCTAATTAGACAGTGATGTGGGTCGAGTAGTGGGTGTCTACCAACGTGGTGAATCTAACCAACCGATAGAATGGTGAATATTTGTACAAATTAAATCCTGACTACTCGACTATCTTGTTAGCCTGTTTTTTCCCTTCACGTTCCCAGTGAAACATAGGGCTTCAAGCTAGTGGCTTGAAGTTTCTGTAGCAGTGCGTATTTTTACATGATAGGGTTGCTAGCCTCATGCCCAACCTTTCCTCTTTACCAGGATTATTTCTGGCTTAGTGAGGTAATGGAGTGCGTCTGTGGCCGGGATCGAACCCCGGACCATGTGAATGGTTGGTGAGCGTCCTAACCCGTGTGCCACCGACGCTTTTGTTAGCCTGTAGTTACACGTAACAAAAAATGACAGTAATAAGAGTGATTGCGAACAAATACTGCTGTGTATTTTCACGGTGACATTATCTTGAGAATAATAAAGACTATAGTTGATTTATTGGTGATTTATGGATCCTAACTGAAATCCACTTCTAGGGTTCTGAGTGCCATGTAGTCTCATTTACTTAAACATCCATATGTGTGACTCATTACCCAACGAATAAATACGTGACCAGTTGCTGATTGGCTTACTATTCACGCCTGTGGGGATATTAGTTGTTTTATTCATTGAAAGCTACATATAATTTCCTTTATGTGGCTAATAACCAATGTGTTCTCAATCGACAAATGTATAAAACAAAATATGTCACATTTTCAATAACTCTCCATAAAAATTATAACTTTTAGAATTCATGTGAAGAATTGGATCTCATTCAGTCGGATTCTGACAGTACGGCTACAAATAACCGATATACCACTCGTAATTCTAGCCAACCGACACGAACTACAACTACCACACGAGTTCGTACGTTTAATACAACTGCAGCTGCTGCTCTTCTTAGCCATGTTATAGTTAGTGAAGAAGAATCAGTGGTAACTGTTGTAGACGAACCAGAATTGTCTGAACCTTCACCTGTCTTTGGTGATCAGCAGAACTCCCTTCAAGATCGAATCGCAAAATATAAACTAGAAATTGACAACTTGAGGAGACAACTTGAAGCGCATAGAAAGTTACAACAGAATGAATTATTAAGTGTAAGTTATTTGGTCTTTTTCTCTTCTCTAAATGTATATCTAGTTTATTAGTTTCTTTGTTTAACTTGTTCTTTCAATAAGGTTAAGTGGATGGACTCTCGGTGGAGTAGTTGGATTTCTTTGCAATCTCAAAACGGAGCATTTCGCCCCTTTTTTAGGACGCTTTTTCTCTGTGAGAAACACATTAATTTCACAGACATAATGCTACATACAAGGGTCATTTTTCCATTCCTTTGCATTTCCGGTAGAACATGGAATAGAAGCGGTGTTATTTTTACGTGGTGGTGGTGGGTTACTAACCTCACACCAAAGTTCTCTCTTTTACGGGCTTAATGTTGTGAAGGGAGGAGGTTAGGAAACGCAACGGTCGGAAATGGAATCTAAGACAACCTCCAACTTGATTGGTGAGCATTCTATCATTTTAAATGTGCGAATCACTTAAAAAACAGCTAAGAATGTAAAATCAAAATATCTTAACAACTTAGTACTGCTAAACTTTCTTTGCTTTCTTGTGTCTTACAAGAATTCGACTAACAGGTTTACTATTCTTAATATCACCAGTGTAAAGTCTAACTCTCACTGTGGCCTTGAAGTGTTGTAACTCTTCATATCACATGTTTAAAGTTCAAGCATAATGTGAAGTCTCATGGTTAGATTTTTATTTGTATTATATAGAAAACATTTATAAGAAATGAATGAAATTCCTATTCAGAGTAATATCGATCAATGTGTTATTGTCGTTGTTTTTCTTAACGATTATAAAATTGTAGATTGAACAACCAAAACACGACCGTGATACACAGACTCTTGTACTATGTCGAGATAACTGTATGCAAACAGTAAAATTAAAGGGTATATTCCCTAAGTACGAAAGTTTATCACTTCAGATAAAGGTTAGTTTCAACTTGATGTTTGTTCATTATTATTGCATGTCTGTCTGTTTTCGACATAGAACTTTGCACCGATGTGAAACAGTTCGAGTCACCACACTCCCTCCTTGTAGCACACAAAGCAAGAGAAGAAAGTAGAAGAAATGCACAATAGAGGCAGTAAACAGAGGTGTGAGAGCCATATCACCAATTGTTTCCAACCATTGGTCTTTACCGGCCCGAGGACCCCAACCGGGAAGCCAGTCTACACCTTCATACGTGACTGGCTTAAACTAACTGTTGTAGGTTTCATTGACTGGTGAGGCCATGTTTTGGTTTGACCGCCGGTAGCTCTTTTCCAGCCTGACTCTATGTCAGCTAACATTACCTGTCTGTTGAGGAAGGTGATGACTAGACATATATGCGTAACACATGTCCTAACCATCTCAGTCGATGTTTAGGATGGTTATTATTGCATGCATGAACCGGCTACTTTATTTTTCTCTTTTTGCGTTTAATTAGGGGATAAGTCATCATATTCAGAATGCTTTTCATCTGATTTCTCAATAGTATATATATATATGGGGTGTAAGCAGTTTCAAGCGTCTCAATGGTGATAGCTCCAATAGCTCACTGGTGACGTATCTGACTGCCATATTGGGTTGCGTGGGTTCGGATTCCGGAAGGGACACCAGTTCCTTGAAGTTCACTGATGCGCCTTTGCTGACGATTCCCAAGAAGCACTAAATCCTTAAGTCCTTAAGGGTCACTAGCTTATCTGTTTCGTCATACCTATTAACAGTTTATGCATGTTTTTGTCACTTAATAATTGTCACAACTAATCAGTGATTTTTGTTCTTTTTCTTTATTATAATTATTTTCTATAGCACCACCGATCTTTGCCAACCTTGCATTCACCATCCTTTTCATCCCGTGCTGAAGATACCGGCGTAGAAATGTCTCAGGGTCTTGTAGACTCAGCAAGTATAGAATCTGTTTCACTACCAACAAGAAAATCTCCTATTGTTGAGGACTTGATTTCTTTAAAGAGTGATCACTGTTCTTCACCTGAAGATGAAAATCTACAAACTGTAATAGGTTCTCCAATGTCTGATAAGGACGATGATATGGAAGTAGAAATTCCGGAGATAATATTTTCATCAAATCAGGAATCAGTAAATCCATCTCCAAATACTGTACAGGATGTCAACCACGATACTCTTGATTCTGTAGCACCGGGAACACTAAATCCAGGCAGTGGGAATACCGATGATGCAGCATCTATGGTAATTATTATTGATATATTGTTGCAATTTTTACTGGATAACTGTTTTCACCAGCATTTCGATGCAGAATATTGCTTGTCCTATTTGATGGTGGTGATAACTGTGGAATCCAGGACACGGGTTTCGTATATGTTTCTTTACAGGGAGCGAATACGCCAGCACAACCAATCAACGAGAAACTAGAAATAGTCCCAATATTCCTTATTTAGTTTCACGAAAAATAAACGTATATAAAACAAGTGTTTCGAAAGTCTTATGCTGGATGTGTCACGTAGAGTTACCAAGATGACTAGGCAGGATCAAGTGATTAATTACGCTTGTGTCTTGTATGTCTGTCTAAGAAACACAATATAAATTCAGAGCCTGAGGTACCAAAGGTGTTTTTCTGGTAAGGTCTTGTCTCGTTTTAGCATCAGCTCCGGACGTTAAAAGAATAGGAACTGTTTTATTTTCAGCTTAGTTGTAGAGTTTGTGTGGTATTGTTCGCACAGAGAACTTACTTTTAGCTTCTGGTCGATTTTTCAACCCCTTCTTCTCAAAGTAAGAAGACCGCATCATTGACTTACTGATTGTTTTATTGAAATGCCTTACTAGTGTTGTTTACTATCCACTAACAGTATGACTAGAACAGAGGCAGTAAACAACTTACCTTATGATAGTAATTGCTTTTATTCTAATTGCTGTCCTACACGCCTTTCTGTTATGGTGAGACATTCTTTCGAGCAGTTATAGCTCTCTGATTGGTCATTGGAATATATCGCGTGATAATTGCAGCCTAATCTTTTTAAACACCAGAATTATTTATTCATCGTCTTTGCTAATGTCTCTGTTAATGAGTACAAGGAAAATATTCCATCTTTGATGATTTCCAAGACATTAGGTCAGCTCATGTTGTAGTTTTTCAATCGTTTTGGGGTTCATCTAGTTTCTTGTATCTGATTGTCAATAATCTTGAGAACTTGTACTTCACACATAGAGAGAACAAATAGCTTTTCTTATTGTTTCGGAAGATTGTGAAAAGGAGTGTATTATCATCATTCCAAATAATTACTGTTTGCATTTTACCTCTATATAGCACTGTCTGTTAATTCATTTTCAAACCATCGATTTGTACATTGTTGCAGTTTTGTTTACATAAGTAACCTGATTTTCTACTTCAATAAAAAGTTTACATTGTGGCAGTATTAGGTGCCTAGTGGCAGAACACAGCGGTATTTAGTAGTGGAGACGCTATTTGGGAATATGATGTACAGTGAATGTAAAATGCAGATACCTTAACATTGAAGTCTCCACCTGAAGTCTCTTCAGGTGAACATAGAGAAAACAGAGGTGATGAAGATGCCTGGCCAACATCAACAGCAACAACAACAGACAACAATCATCATAAATGGGAGGAACTTGAACGAAACAACCTCCTTTACCTACCTGGGAAGCATCGTTTCAATTACAGGAGGAACTGACAAGGATATCAAGGCAGGTATCGGGAAAGCAAGACAAGCTTTCATTACTCTCAAGTCTGTGTGGAGGTCACCAGCCCTACTCAGCATCAAAAATAAGATCCGGATTTTCAACTCCAATGTGAAGTCAGTGCTACTCAAAATACGGATCAGAGACTTGGCCGGCGCGTCATAAAATGCATTTCAAACAAACTTCAGACCTTCATTAACAGTTGTCTTCGCCCAATACTCGGGATCAGGTGGCCGGCCAGAAAAGATTAGCAACAGGGATCTCTGGCAATGAACGAATCAACCCAGCAGGAACCAATTGTGCAACAAATATGCAGGAAGAATTGGAGATGGAATGGCCATACTCTGAGCAAACAAGCCATCAAGTGACATCACTAGACAAGCCATCGTTCGAGTGGAACCCGAAAGGGAAGCGGCGAGTTGTTCGTCAGTGGGATGGTGGGGTGACTTGGAGGAAGTCATGTGAGGAGGAGATGAGAGTATGTGGGCAGACTTGGAGCGGGGTGAAAAAGTTGGCAGAGAACCCGACGCAATGGAGATGCGCGGCTGAAGCCCTATGTTCCTGTAGGAATTAAAGGGAATAATAACAAGTAATAATAACACATCACACACAATATACTATTTACAAAATCTTCTCAGTGGCACATACCACAGATGTAGTTGCTCCTAGTGTTGATATTATTAACTAGGTTTATTTTAGTTTCCTTCCAATTGTGACTAGTTTTCCGACAGACTATCGGAGAATCATCAGTAACTTGTCATTTTAACTATACAGAGAGATTGGAAATAACTTTTATGCATAGATTGAGGTAATTCAACAGATGCGACGGTTTCAGTACATATTTATTCCTAATATTTTATAAGATCTTCAATTAATTGTTCGTAAAGGCGTTAAAATTTATGTGTTCACACTGCTTTCTGTTTGTTTGTTTGTTTGTCAGGTACCAATCTCTGAAGTGTCGAAATTAATTGAACAACTGACAGATTCAGAGATACTTATTAAAACATTGCGTAATGAAATTGATGATCTTACTAAATATCAAGTAAGTTTTGTTTTTTCTCATTTTTTTGTATACAACGGACACTTCTTTTATTGACAGTGTGTTACTACTCCATTTTATAAAATAATAATCTATAGAATGTTTTATGTCTTCGCATTACATATGTTTATATTATCTTGATTGTGATTTAGACATGTGTTTATACCCCTTTCAAGACACGTTAGAAGCAGACTTCTTTATACTTTTGAAAATGCAGATTTCTATATTAAATAAAGTGCGTCGGTAGTACAGCGGTTAGGATTCTCGCTGACCTGGGGTTCGGTACCATGCCGACGCACACCTGATATCTATGGTCGGCCTGCAAAATTTGGGCTACCGATATCATATGCTGAAAATTACATACTTGTGTCAAAAATACTGTGTTGTTTCACGCTACCATAAAAAAAATAGTATGCCTATTTCTTCACATAGATATCTTTAAAATTCGACTTCATATTAATCGTGGATAGAATTTAACCTTAGCAACATGGCGAGCTGGTAGGACTAAATACAAACACTAGTAATAGTAATAGCAGGTGTTGTGGAATACCAGTACACGAAAGCAACACGAGGTAGAAATATGTACTATCATAAATTGTATCGCCTGTAGTTCTTAATAATCGCAAAAGAATTTCTTTAAATATTCAGAAATTGCCCTTACTACTGAGAGTTAGTTTGTTTTCAAACCTGGAGTTTTTTTTCCCAGTCAGCATTGTATTTCTCGGTGATATGTACAATGTACAAGATGCCTGTCTGATATTTCATACAATGAAGGTTTTTAACCCACTCAGTTGACTCGTTTTTATACGCGACTCTGTGTATACAACGGCAGTCTATTTCTTTACATCGGTATCCAAATATGTGAATAATTCATGACACCATTTTTCCAAAATTAAAGGTAGCACGAGTAAACTGGTTACAACTGTTTTAGTATCTTCATAGGGACTCCATCCTACCATCAATTTGTTGTGTCGTCTCTTCAACTTTCTGTTTAAGTTGAGAATCCAATTTGTGATGCATTTGCCCTCTTCTATGAAACACAGACTGTTTTCCTTTGTCATTTGTGACTCAATCGGTCACGTTTGAGAATTAGATTTCCAAACGCTCTGAAATTGAGTAGAATTTTATGAAACACCTGTTATTCTTCTATGCCTACTACACCTAATGTATTTATACTGAATGCAAGTTTACTTACTGCTTAAAAAGAGATATTTTAAACCTATGCTTCTGAGATATGATGTCCAACTGTGAGGCGACTAAACTTTGAAGTTAAATGGGAAAACGAATTTCTTAAATAAAATTATAATTTGAATATATCTCAGGTTTTATGCTTGGCACTATTATTATGAGTGTTATGATTGTGCTTGTTTAAGAACTCAGTCAATCACATCAAAATAACTTTATATCTTTGTTGCTTTCCTCTTATTTTGTAATGAAAACATTACGGTATGAGGTTCTGCCTTCTTGTTCTTGTTCTTCCTCCTCCTCCCCATCCTCTTCCTGCAATCTGTAAGTCAGTCAATAATTCCAACAATCACTGAATTGCCCCTGCAACAAAGATTACTTCTTTTCACACTTTCATTAATTAAGCCGTTTTTGGTGTGTGATATGATTTCCATTAAAAGACAAACAATTTTGGTTGGAACAGGAAATATTTTCTTTCTTTGATTTGTCAACAATGCTTTGTTTTTCCCTCTTATTCTCAATTGCTTTTTCTTTTCTTTTCTTTTCTGAACTACCTGTTTTGCTGGTCACATTTAACTCTTTCTTTTGTTGTTGTTTCTGTTGTAAATTGTCTTCTATTTTTTAGTTTTCCATTGTGTGATTTAATCAGTGTAAAAATTTTCGTCCTATGACTTGACGTTAAATATTAGCGTACAGTATAAATATTTTGTTTCCTTCATGTGATATACAATTACAATGATTCATTTTCTTTACTTACAAAAATCCACTTTTATAAATTGTGTGAAATTGTGCTTACAAAGTAAATTGTGTAACGGATTATCATTTGTGTGATAATAAGGGGAACACTTTAATAAGATGTGCAATGCACTGCACGATTTCTACTTTTCATCTTTACAGAATTGCATTTTAGGTTTTACGTGAAATATTTCTTTTTTTTTCAAAATAAATTCTTTTGTAAAGTGGGGGTATGCGTTGGGGTGGGGGGGTGGTTGCTGTGGAAACAGAATTACTTCGAAGAATATATAATGCATAGTTTTACATTTATCCGAATTGATTCGGTTTCATCAAACAGTAACTTGAGAGGTGGTAATTCACCGTTAAGGAGGTGTCAACTGATTGCCGTCTCCACCTATATTACAACTACAGGCTCTTCGTTTTGAAGTTTTATCATAGTTATGTAAACCTTTTTTTGGAACTGGTTAGTGTCTAATGCGCCGCGTAGCACTAAAAGTTTGATTGTATTACTTACTATTCTGTTAAAATAAGAGTTTTCACTCACTTTCGAAGCATTCATTTAGTCATTTCTGAGAATGACATAAACAACTACCAACCTTCCCCCTCCCTGTTTATTCTGGATTTGTTATCCATTATGTGTTATTGTTAAGTGTAATTGATTATGCGTGTTTTTCAAAAAATATATGAATATGAAGTTCCCAGTTTTTTCTTGTTAGATTAAGATGAATGCGATAAAAGCAACTGGTATAGAAGTATTCTTTTGTAGGTTTGTAGGGATTTGATTGATTGGTTACAGGATTTCATCATGAGTTGACATTGTTTAGAAGAGAACCATTGGAAAACCTGGGAGTACTGGTCAGCTGTTTCCTATGTCCTAGTTTGGGACTGGGGTTCTAGTGGAAAGGCGTGACCAGTAGGGGGTACATCAGGTCGGATGTGAGGACAAATACTCGCTGAAGACATTGGCTAGTGGTCACGCTATGTCTTGAATCGGCAGAAGTTGGTCTCAGTGGCTTAATGGTCTACGAGTTCTCTGGCCTTGTAACCGGAAGGTCCTGGGTCCGAACCCTTTCGGTGGGTGTGTACTGATGAAGAGTCCCAAACTAGACTGGCGAAACAGCTGTCCAATACTCCTTGGTGGTATTCCACTGGTTCTCTAACCGATTTCAGCTCATGATGAAATCTTTTAGCCAAAAGTAACTGGTTTTGCACATCGTTTGGCAGACGGGGGGGGGTCAGGTAGTCGTTACCTGTAGAAGTACTAGTCATGGTGTATACTAATATAGGTTGTTCGTTGGTTCCGGTATGTGACTAATATAGTTTAGTTACCATTCTTATTAATACTGTATTAAGTAACTGACTTAAATGTCATTCATCTGTTAACACTACTGAGTGGTTTTGGGTTTTGTTTTTGTTTACTTCATCTATAGTCGAAATGATTCATTCGGGTAATTATTTAACTCATGATCCCTCAGATCTCTTTCTAGTATTATTTATTCTGTCTAAAAAGACATAATTTAGCATTCCTAATTTCATAAAAGTGATATTATATCCTATGTCTCTGATATCAAGGAGGCGTTCATGGTTTAGTCAGTCAGTCAGATAGTCATTTGATTTTTATATCAGTATCTGACAGTTTATGCGTTTCTTTTAAAAACACAGAATCCTTTACTATCAAAATACCCTTGTTGGTTAGTTCTGTCAGTACACAATCCATTACTTATGTGTTTCATATCTTATATACATTGATTAAAAGCATAGAATTTCCCTATATTCAATCTCCCTTTTTGTTTTTCTAGGTTGAATTACAACATGATTACAATACTGTACATGAGATGCTAGTAGAGCGTCAAAATGATCTTACTCGAGTTACAGAACAACTACTTGAATCAGAGGTAATTTCAAGTACTATAATAGGAGAAATTTATTAAACGTTTTAGTTGTATATTTATATAACTTTCAAATGTTTTGATGCTAAGGGAATCGAATTTATTTCAAGATGGATTTTGTCACTAGTCAAACGCAGTTGAAGAGTCATTAAAACTGAGGAAGCACACTGATCAGCTTTATCTTCATTAATGTGCATCTCTTGAATACTGCTACTCATCGATAATTTTTGGTTTACACTCGTTCTTTAAGTGATCTTGGTTCGTGACGAAATCTAAATTGGAACTATGTAATGAAGCATTCTAATCAGGTAGCATCATAATCAGATTATACGTTCGCCTGTAGAAATAAAAGTGTATGTTAGCCTTTGCTAATTCAAGAATATCATAAATTTGCAGTGCATTCAATTGTCAATAAGCTTGACCATGAATCGATTTCACTTAGGAAACTATTGATGAAAAGCAGGGAATAATGAACAACCGCTTCGTCCGAGTTCGGGACTCTTCAGCAGCAGTACACGCCCGTGGCCCTCAACTGGAGACCGAACTCAAGATCTCCAGGTTACAGGGTTAGTCAATGAGAGGGAATCCAATGACCCTACCTGTTCTAACCAATGCCATTCCGCCGCCGTATGTAGCGTGACCGCCACCCAATGTTATGGATGACTATCTATCCTCATGCCCAACTTGGCTGATCAGCTGATATTAACTAGAGCTGTCTGTCTGTTTTCGACATAGAACTTTGCACCGATGTGCAATAGTTCAAGTCGCCACACTCCGTCCTTGTAGCTCACTAACCAAGAGAAGAAAGTAGAAGAAATGCATAATAGACACAGTAAACAGAGGTGTGAGACAAAGAGATAGTAATAACGAAGAACAATATAGTTTCATTGGAAATCATAAGCGACAAGGAGTGGATGCATCTGCACTGTCATTGAGAACGATTTTGAGCCATGTCACCAATTGTTTCCAGCCTTCATTGGTTTTTACCGTCCCGAGGACCCCAACCAGTCAGAAAGTCTACAGCTTCCTACGTGACTGGCTTAAACTAATTGTTGTGGATTTTATTGACTCGTGACATGTTTTTGTTTGACCTCCGCTAGCTCTTTTCCAGCCTAACTGACCCTATGTCAGCTATTATTGCCCATTGTCGAGGAAGGCGATGACTAGACATACGTAACACATGTCCTAACTATTTCAGTCAATGTAACTGCTTCACAGCCTCGTCGATTGATCTCCCCTCCTTGCGTAGCACTCGACCGATGCCTTACCCCAATATTGCTTACCTTATCATGCCACCTAAGACAGGAGATAGAACGCAGGCACCTATGATAAAAGACGGCTAATCTTTTGATGTCTTCCACTCTCAATGACCAGGTCTCACAGCTGGTCATAAAGGAGGACGGAGCGGACTGATGAGCAGTACACACAACCTTTGGTCGACAGCCAGCCGGATATGACGTCTACGCCAGAGACGGCGTAAACTGGCAGGCATATGCGAAACTAGCCCTCTCTATCCGTGGTGAGATTTCGTCGGAGATCAACCCGTTAGGGCTGATGCAAATTCACAAGTAGGTGAAGCGATCAACCACCTCACTCCCTAGAACTAGAACATCAGACAACTTCTTCTTGTATGCAGTCTCTGGTGATTAGTAAATTAGTTTTCAAGTGTTAATTTGCGGGGATTCCATCGATTCCAATTGAAGATACTGGATCATCACTTATTTTTCTTCGACTTGATTTAGAATAAAACTATTTTTTACCTTAACTTAGGTTTAGCTTGAATACAATTAGGTAACTTTCGTATGACGAATGTATGTGATTATATGCTTGTTCTAAGTTTTATACGAAGTAATCCTAATTGACAAAACGAATACCATTGTAACAACAGAAGACAAGGGCCAGGCAACAGATCGTTTATTATGAAAATCAACACGTATTTATACATCTTTCAACTACATTATTATAGACAAGCGCAGTCATCTGATTGGTTGTTTAGGTAGACAAACGCAGGCTTCTGATTGGTTGTTTCGGGATTCCTTGACAAATAGAGTTCTCTCTGCGAATCACATTTTGCCACGTTAACTTTGCTGTGATTGGTTGTTGACTCAGGCTTGTTCATATTTTCTCACGGCCCATATTAGTGACCTAGACCTTAACGTAGATTAGTGCCAACCAATCGGCTAGCAGCCTGCTCTCACCACACTCGTCCCCCCGTCAAATACGTGCGACTGAAGTCGGCTTGATCTACTTGGTGCAGGCGTCATCGTTGGCTTGTCTCGCTGTATCCATTTCTGGAGCTCGCTGACGTTCACGCGCCTCTCATTGTTCGCCATTGCGACTGTGTCTGCGTAACCCCATCTCGAAGTGACCATATATGGTCCTTCCCACTTTGGAAACTGTTTGCCTGACCCTGTCGAACATTCGTCCATACTTCGGCCCACACCTACATATGCTGCTTTCGCCCGACCTCCCAGCAGCGTCTCAAGTAGCAGCTCCATCGCTGACAGATCTTGAACGCCACTCAACTGCGCAGAAGCCTTGAAGTCCTGCCCGAAGATCCATATGTCTCCATCAAAAACTGCAGGGTATAGGCTTTTCATTTGTCGGTAGGCAGCGACACCAAATGTAACAACAGAAGACAAGGGCCAGGCAACAGATCGTTTATTATGAAAATCAACACGTATTTATACATCTTTCAACTACATTATTATAGACAAGCGCAGTCATCTGATTGGTTGTTTAGGTAGACAAACGCAGGCTTCTGATTGGTTGTTTCGGGATTCCTTGACAAATAGAGTTCTCTCTGCGAATCACATTTTGCCACGTTAACTTTGCTGTGATTGGTTGTTGACTCAGGCTTGTTCATATTTTCTCACGGCCCATATTAGTGACCTAGACCTTAACGTAGATTAGTGCCAACCAATCGGCTAGCAGCCTGCTCTCACCACACCATCAAGATGAATTAAAAGCTTACTATAGAAATAAAGTTGTTGCTTGTATAATGACGTGGTATAATCATATATATGCACATTGTTTATTCAATACTGTGGCTATTTGTTATGTACTCGTCGCTAAATTATTGTTATGGTCTGGTCGAGAAACTTATATGTCCTGACGCAAGAAGGCGGAAATCAGAAGACCACTAGGTTTGCGATGTTACTTCTATTTTCCAAACACAAGGAGAAGCAATAAGTGATATCACACCAAAGTAAGTAAGTCACACAAATTGTGAGAACGAAATATGTATATATATATATATATAGCAAAATATAGCAGACATGTCAACAACCACCATATATAGATATATGTCACCAAGCTACGGACTGTCAACAAACACTCATATTATATTATATATAATATAAGGGGAATATACATTATTGAATTGAATTTTTGATTTTCCCGTCGATTGATTGGACCGAAGTGCTCGGTCTCAGGTTGACATGTCGGCTTCTTGTGCAGATGCTTCGACGATGTCTGGGCATTTAGTTAGTATACAATTGGTGGATGGTGGCTAGCAGTGGAATCCAGGATGCGCATTTCGTCCTATTTGGGACTCGTCAGCTGGATGTACCTGCATTTCTCAGTGAGTGATGATGTTCCCACTGAGGCTCGAACCCAGTACCCATAGTTTCAAACGCCAAAGCGTTATCCGGGAATATACATTGTTAAAGGAGACAGGTTCATACAAGTGAAATGGTCACAGACTAAGCGAGCAAACAGAAAGAGAGACCAACATACACACACACACATAAATATATATATATATATATGTGGATACATATCACTATTCTACTCCCTGCTAAAAATATACTCTCACTTATGCTAGTGCGCACCATTCACTAGTCATTGTGCCCACAGATTTCGGTTTCTGGTCAGATTTTACCTTCTCAAATCAGTTGTGTGTGTGTGTGTGTGTATTCGATTATTTATTTCATTGATGAGATAGCCTGTCATTATATCAAGCTTATCATCCGGTTATCAGTGATATTACAAAACAGATCACTTATATGCATGTATATTCATTCAGTTCCACTCGTTTATCCTCATTATTATAAGTAAATCCTAAATATAATGTATTTCCTATCATTTCTGTTTCTCAATAGGGTAAGCTTAAAAGTCTTAGTAGTCAACTTGTAGAACGTAAAGATGTTCTTTCGGAACGTGATGAAGATCTTTTCCTTCTTAATGAGGATAAAGTGAGTCTAATAAATTATTTTTTCAACTGTTTTTTAAAATATTATTTGTTATTAATCCAGCTTAATGGACCGAAATATTCGGTCTCATTCAACATGTCGGCGGATAGTACGAACGTTTTGTTGATGTCTTAGGATTAACTGAAAGTTATTTGGCGAATGGTGACTGACTAGCACTGGAATCTAGAATTTCACATTTTGTTCTATTTGAGACTCATCAGTCGTATGCAAGTGCATTCCTCAATGAGTCAGATGGTGTGTGCTTGAAGTGATTTGGTGAATGGTGATTGACAATGTTGACACTATCACTCACGGAGAAATGCACGCGCATCCAACTGACGAGTCTCAAATAGGGCAAAATGTGCATCCTAGATTCCACTGCTAGTCACCGTACACTAAATTACTTCGTGTTTTGCATTTTCCCCTAATTGTAATTTTTTTCCACTGAGGTATATCCGTTGAGTTAAAACTGGTTTATTTTAATGTACTAATAATAATATGTAGAGTAATACAGGGTTCGAGATAGCTGTTGTTATTTCAAACTATGGTGCTTATAATGGGTCAAATTAGTAACAGTCAGCTGGACTGAGTAAAGTTAAAAGTGAACTATGGAAATGAAGTCAAAGTAGATATTGGATAAAAAAACAAACTATAGGAGTCCGGTGTTTGAAACTACTTAACATTCTTCGCCTACTTCAGTCTCGGAAACTAGGTAGAGTAGTATCGTTGGCCCTTACACAATAAGTTTAGCTCAAAACCCCTGGTACGTGGAATTTTCCATGCTCTAACTGATATTGAATTGTATTCCTAACAATATGTGGACTAGGATTTTCATCATGAGCTGATATTAGTTAGAGAACCATTGGAAAACCTGGGAGTACTGGACAGCTAATTCGTCCTAGTTTGGGACTCTTCAGCAGTACGCACCCACCTCAAGGGTTCGAACCCAGGACCTTCTGGTTAAAAGGCGAGCTCGTATACCATTAATCCCTGCAGACCAACACTTGAATGTGTGGACCGTTTCGATAGGATGAATCAAATCCTTATTGTTCTGCTTCAGAACACTTTTTTTTGAAACCATTTATCTTGAAACTAGTGGATTTCATCCATTACATAGAGTTGGTTGTTGTTAGTGGAAACCACAGGCAATGAATTGATTGGCTTTACTAACTAGAAGTAAATATGTTAATTAGAACTGACTAACCGTACATTTTGGTTAGTACTGTTGAACGTGGCTTCAACTAAGCGGAATCGATGTTACTGATAAAAGCAGATTTGTTCACTTTTCTTAGTGACTTTGATCAGTAAATTTCTAATCCCCACATATAGTATGTGTTTATGACAGTCTGAAGTTATGCTACAGTTGGGCAGTAACTTGGCATGGTATTAATCGTGAAAAGGGAAGGTTAAAATCTTCTAAAAGTGTATGCTTTTGGAAGTGTATGGGCGGTTGTTACTTCCCGGCTACCCACACCGTGGAAGTTGATTGATTCTTCGGGTACCTGAATCAGAAAGAAGGTTAGTGTTGCGTGACCGCAGACCCCGGGCGACAACTGCTTGAGGCCGGTCACACGCGGCCTGTATGAACTGGTTCGTGGGATTGGTACCGTATTAATAAACTTACCACCGGTTATGGACCACCGTAGGTGAGGTAAGTCGGGATGTACAATTTTTGGGGTCGATCTTTTCTAACCCCCTCTCTCCGGAGTGGAAAGACAGCATAGGTGGCTGGCATGCTGGTCATCTGAGGGAAACACCTCACGACTGTTACACCCCTGTTCCCCAGAAGTACGACTTCGACCTCAGACCCATAGCATAGTGTAAGAAAGATTCTTACAGAATTCCGGTAACTGCTTTTAGTCTAATCGCTATCCTAACAACCTTCCTTGCATGGTAGGACTTATAGGAACATTGGTTCTAGGCAGTGTAGCTTGTTGGGTCATCGCGATGTGCAAGTCCGACCAAGGTAGCAACTATCGGTCGAGGAAAAAAATCAGATGTTTCAAGAATAGTGTTTAATATTTACAATCGCTGGAATCAACTTTTATCTGCCTTATTACACTGAAATATACTCACGTTGGAATAACTATAGAGAGGTTATTACCTCCATCTACCGACGATGAATACTAATTGAATATGGATTCATGTTATTAGTAAGCACACATACACACACACTCACACACTTTGTTAATAATTCTGTATTTTCTGTTGTTATTTTAATGAGAAAATGAGTATTTTATTGGTCTTGCGATTGCTTAGGTGTTCATCAGTTGAACTTCCTGAATTCTGTTAGGAATTTATGTGATAAGCAATTCTAACCATGATGCGACTGACTAATTATTTAGTCATGTTGTGGATGTTGCCTACTTAGCACTATTAGCTTCTTTGTTGTTGTGACCACCATAGCAGAAATGTAGATAATTACTGTTTTACATAGGACAGGTAAGCTAATAAACAAAGTCATAAAAGTCCTTTGACTAAGCTTTTATGAATAATACCTGTTCACTGTCTTCTTTGACGTAATATTAGTAGACATAAGCTTAGGTTCTGAAGTAGAGGGGGCTATCACAATACCATAAAATCAGTAATTATTGACCACAACTATTTTGTTTAGTGTCACACTGTAACTAGTGTGACTTGTAGCTGGTATGGCTCAAAATCAGTGTTGTCCACTCTCGTGCACTAATACTTTTGTATTGATTGTATTCTTCATTTCTCAGGTCCTTTATTCTTAATTTAGCTTAATTAGTATTAAAAAAACCTTTTTTTTCTTAATAAAATACTGAATTTTATTTTTAATTTTAAAAGAAATCATTAGAGTTGAAGGTTACAGAATTACAATCTGAGATTGAAGAATTAAGACGTTTGGTTAAATGTTACAATTCAGAAAATCATGTGTTATCAGTATCAGTACAAGCTGATCTTCCTAATTCTCGGGCCGTTATGGATGATAAAATGATTCAAGTTATGATGGTGAGTTGATTCTCAATGTTAAGAAATTTTATTTAAAATAACTGACTACAGCAGTTACAAAGCACTTACACAAATTGAACGATATTTCAACTGAGCTGTTCTGGTTCCCTGTTGACATCTTGTAAAACTGTTTTGGATACTTCGATTGAACGCTAGGTAGTGCCATGAATGTAGTTCTTTGTATGCTATAGACTAAATTCTATCACTCGGCTATGCAATCTGGCCATAACAATACATGCCATGAAAAGACTAGTTATCTTTGATCACAGTTGTGTCTGCGTTCTGTCCCCAGTGTTGGGTGGTGGTATAATACGGTGAGTGACAGTGAAATTAAGCGTCGAATATTGGATAAGGAGGGAAATCCATTCTATTAGGCCATGAGGCTACATTGATTAAAATAGCAAAGAAATGTGTCATGCACGCCTAGCTATCGCCTTCCTCAACAGGAAATGTTAGCTGACCTAGGATGAGGTTGGAAAAGAGCAAGTGGTGGTGGTCAGACTAAAACATGGAATCAATCAATCAATGAAATCCTTAACAATTAGATTGAGCCACATAGAGAAGTGTAGACCACTTGCCTGTTTTGGTCCTCGAGATGGTAAAAAGCAATAGGTGTAGATAGTTGGTGGTGTGGCACGAAATCGTTCTCAATGGCGTAGATGCATTCACTCTTTGTGATATATCTCATATCCACTAAATTGTCATGTTTTTCCGCGTTGCTATTCTTTCTCCCGGAGATTTCTGTTCATTTATAGCTTCTTTGAATTTCTTCCTGTCTATTTGTTTCTACTTTTGTGTTCTATCTACATGGAGTGTAGCAACCCGAACTACTTTACTTCTATGCAAAGTTCTGTGTTGAAATCAGTCAGTCAATTAAATATTTCAACCTAACTAAGCCATTGATTAATCGTTAATGTAGACCAATAGACTGCGTCTTTTTAAATGATTTGTGCGCGATAAATCCTACTTAATGCATTTGAATAGTGCTCAAATCACTGTCTCTTGACAAAGGTGTGTAAAGAGTGGACAACACAAACATGAATTTATTTTCCATAGAATTCGTTTCTTTCTACTTGTCATGATGTTATTATTCTTAAATACCGCATTCTTTTTTGTTTGTTCTTATAGATGCCTTCTCTGATTGATTCACAATACCGTTCCACCTCTGATGAAAATAAGAATATGCTTGAAGATACCAACTATGTTTTGAAAGAATTGACCATACAGCAACAACAGCAACAAGAGAACGGAATTCCTCAGCTATGGGCTTCGTCTACTCCAAAAGAAGAGGAGTCACCTAATTCGTCATATACGTCAACGGAGAATGATACACCTACTAAAACTATATCGGCTGAATTAAATGTAAGAATTGAGTATTTAAAAATGCAAATTATTTTTATTTATTTATTATTATTTTTTGATCACAGCTTGATTCCACACCGTATTTTTGGTACAAGTGTGGAATTTTCAGCATGGATATCGGTAGCCCAAATTTTGCAGGCCGACCATTGATATCAGGTGTGTGTCGGCAGGGGATCGAACCCCGGACCATGTACATGGTCAGCGAGAGTCTTAATCACTGCCACCGACGCACACTTCGTAGTATTTGTGTCCGCGTATAAGTGAAACAAGCAGACACAGCTGCAGAATTGATCCATAAGCAAATCTGTGTAGTTGTCTAAGGTAATTATATATGTATGAATACTTGATAAACTCCTATTTTAGTAACCTCTGTTACCTATTTATTATCACTAGAGCTAACCAGTTAAGGCGGGAAATTGGTCACAGGACCTACTGAAGTCTTCTTAGAAATAATGCAGAGGGTTTTCCAACTTGATAACTTTTTACCGAGTTTTTACTGTATCCTCTCTGGGACTTAAATTTTCCATCAGGAGCCAGTTTTAACCACCTAGCCTAGTAGTCAAAATTTCAAGATTCATTATGATTTTTAATTCTACCGGGTATATTTGATATTTTGTTACAGGATTTCATCATGAACTAATATTCGTTAGAGAACCATTGGAAAACCACCAGGGAGTACTGGACAGCTGTTTCGTCCTAGTTTGGGAATTTTCAGCAGTACGCACCCACCTCAAGTGTTTGAACCCAGGGCCTTCTGGTTACAAGGTGAGGTCGTAGACCATTAGGCCATTGGGACCTGTTCCATGACGAAACCCTGTAACCAATCAACCAAATCCCCACAAATCAATACTTGAATATCAATGAGATGCTCGCTGGCGGCTGGCCCTATTCATGTAGGTAGTTACCTGGGGTTCCAGTGGGAAGTTGTGACCAAATGTCACCTCATGATGAAATCCTGTAACCAATCAACCGAATCCCTACAAACCAATTCTTGAATGCTTAATATTTATTGGGGAAGCAATATATCCGCATAGGTTATGTCTAAGTCCATATTTCATATCTAATTACTGAAATCATTTGACATTTTTTAAAATGCACTATCCTATTCAATTGATTGAAAGGTTATTTACAGAGATTCTTCTTCTTATAGTTAACATTAGCTTACATATGAAAATGTTGTGTTGTTGTTATGGTAACCGTGCTTCTTAAATTAAAGAATTTCTTTACCGTATGTTTGCATTAGTCTTGCAATATGTAAATCATAACATAGTAAGAAATGGATAAAATTGATATTTTTGTATGAATATTTCTTCTTCTATAGTGACACGTATGTTCTTTTGGATGTAATTATAATTTTAATAATCTGTTTCTTGTGGCGCATCATTCTATACCTATGGTGTAAGATACATACCTTTTGTTATGATAAAAGTAACCTAAAGCTGACTATGTTTTTTATACATACTTCCCTTTATATTTATTACAGACACTAACCAATCGATTGAGAGAAGAAAGTCTTCGACTGGCAACAGCAACTGCAATAGCAACTTCTCGACAGCCTGTCTGTGAGCGACCATCGACTATCTTAGTCAACAAACCAGTCAACCAAACAGAAGAAGCTATAAAAGTTGAAGCCGACACAGTGTCTTCTCCTTGGATGAATGAAATTCGTGGAACCTATGCTGATCTGAAAGAAGCAGTCAGTGAAGTCTCCAAGGTGAATATGTATACATATACATACCTTCATAATTTTAAATACCCCATCTCTTTTCTTTTTCATCATGTTTCTTATTGAAAATGTCATTTCTGTCTTCTTTTAAATATCAGATGGTAAATGACAATACATGGATCAAAAAAGAACCGTCAGATTTTGATGACGCTGAAGAATCAATGAGAAATTTTGTCAATCGACTACTCGTTTCTTTGAGCAAAGCGCTGGATTCCGATGAAAAACTATGGCTTTCTGCACTGACAACATCTGTTGATCAAACCTATGCAATTATTCAAAATAAGATTGGGGCACATTCAAATTTAGTGGAACCACTCACTGAAGGCATTCTCTGTAGAATTATACAACAGTTAACAGAGAGGATATCTGCGTTTATGCGACGTGAAGATGAGGTATGCGTTCTTTCTGTTCTGCGTTTAAAAGCATTAAGTTTGTTGTACAGTAACGTTTACCTGCTACTTATCGAATCTGCATATTTCTTCTTTGTTTCAGTTTCGTAAATGCCTTGTAGAAGTTCTTCATGTGGAAGAAGCTTCCTTCAAATCGGAATTGAAGACACATATTAATCGTTCTGATACATTGGTGGAAGAGAGTAAGTTCTGTGTTTTGTTTGTATGATTGTCTGATTGCAGTTTCTTTTATAAACCCGTCTTTTAAAGTTAGACGTATGGGTGATTGTATGAAGTGATGAACAGCGAAATCAAAAGGCATGAAAAAAAGACTCCGCCGATAGGTGCTAACAGTTGACAGAGCTGTTCAGGTGTCCTTAAGAGACTGGCTGTGGAAATCTAGGGGGTGAATCAGAGGGACAAATCATTGGTTATGTAATAGGAAGGTGGGATTTTGGTTGAAAGACGAAACTGCCCGTCTGATTGGATTTCAACACAGAACTTTACTGAAAAGTGCAGCAGTTCAAGTTGCCACACTCCATATAACACGCAAAGGTAGGGAAAAGGGAGATAAAGAGATTCAGAAGAACTGTAATGGGCAAAAATGTACGGGAGGAGGAATAGTAACACAGAAAAATGAAGATTAAATGGATCTCGGTGATTACGAAGATTGAAAACACCTGAGTAACTGAGAACGATTTTTAGCTATATCACCAATTGTATGCAGCCATTAGTTCTTAGAATCCCAATGGCCTGAACCAGACAGTCTGCTCGTCCTTACGTAGCTCAAATCAAGTGTCAACGTCTTTATTTATTGATCTTGCTTTTTAAGTTGCCCACCCGGAACTTCTTTATAACGTAATCCAATGTCAGCTAACACGGTTTGTCGAGGAAGGTGGCGACTTGGCATTCGCAACACGTATCCTAGCCATCCTAAAGAGGGAACACTGATGAGCAGTGCTTTAAAAGCGACGGTCGTTACTTCTCACTACAGCATGAAGTAGAGGAAAGAAACTATAGCCTGTTCGCCATTGATTTTGATTCAGGGCCATATGTGACAACTCTCCTCATTATCTTTCAGAACTCATCCCTGGAATACTATTGCTTCAACAGATGCTAACGCGCGATACATTATGCATTATCCCACAGCGTCTCGTCATGAGTCAAACACCGCTTCTCCATCCATTCTGAGTGGGCGGAGGGTGGTAATGAAGAGTGAACAATGTGATAACTCCTAATATTGCATTCTTAAGTCATTTACAACTCACTGAAGCCAGTATTGTATCAAGGTGACTTCACTCACTTTAAGATGACTGCATCATTGTGCCTTAGGAAGTATTTCCATAATCTCACAACTGGAAGCTGAGGTTCTATGTACAGACGGTGATGGTTGATCATCCCAGTAGATGCTACTTTTAACTGGTGTAGAGAGGTTGCACTTAGCTGTGTTTTGTAAGTCCGTAGTTGGATAATCAGTGTCATGTCTCAACGGTGCCAGTAGTAGTGACCTTGTCTGTCTGTCTGTCTGTCTTCGACATAGAACTTTGCACAATGTGCAACAGTTCGAGTCACCACACTCCCTCCTTGTAGCACACAAACCAAGAGAAGAAAGTAGAAGAAATGCATATTAGAGACAGTAAACAGAGGTGTGAGACAAAGGAATAGTAATAACGAAGAACAATATAGTTTCATTGGAAATCATAGGTCACAAGGAGTGGATGCATGTGCACCAGCCATTGAGAACGATTTTGAGCCATATCACCGATTTTTTCCAGCCATTGGTTTTTACCGTCCCGAGGACCCCAGCCAGTCAGGATGTCTACACCTTCCTACGTGGCTTAGACTAACTGTTGTAGATTTCATTGACTGGTGAGACCATGTTTTGGTTTGACTGCCAACAGCTAGCTCTTTTCCAACCTGACCCTATGTCAGTGACCCAATCCATCGGAATTCTCTTCCATCACACCTCTGTCTGCTCTGACAACTTCCTATGTTTACGACCATCTTATCATTTATGTATATAGTTGTTATGACGTAGGGTTTTTTCTCGTGGTGTAGCATATTTGGTCTGTCTTTTGAAAAGAGATGATATAAAAACAGGATACTACCTCCTCTTCAAATTTCCACTGTCTAGCAGCAATAGCTTAACTCCTGTTTACAAAATTATACTGTCACATTATTTTACACTGCATAATACGGTTTTCTTAGAAATGAATTAACTAATACCTTTCTTTGTGTGTGGCTTGTTTTGTTTTTCCTCTGTAGTCAATCGATTGACTCAACTTGTAAGTTCAAGATCAGAAGAATTGGATCATGCTAACAATCGAACCAATGAATTGTGTAGTCAGTTAGGTGATCTAAAAGTTGAACTAATTCATACACAGCATGAATTACAATCAAAGTCTAGTGAAGTTGATAATCATCTAACAAATATTGAACATTTAAGGTTAGAGTTTATTTTTGTCATTAGTAAATTAGTAAACCACAATATTTTCTTTAGAAAAAAAAATTTTTGCTTTTCTTTCTTCTGATTAATAAGTAAATGACTTTATTAATAAGATTGTCATATAATGATAATCGTATGCAGTTATTTTTTTTATATCACAATGTAAATTTTCAATACCCTGCACCCTATTTCTTATTTCTTATGCTTCCAAGGCAGCATAAACCAGACATATTCTTGCCTGCCTATACTGCGGGTAGAAGTATATCCCTTCTAATGTTTACAGTTAATATTCTTTACTTGTTTAAATTCACAAGAAAGTATAATTTTGATGAAGAGCAAGAGGATTTAAAAATGACCAATTATCAGCTGTTGGACTGCCCTCCAATAGATCAGAATTTCCATTTTATGTTTGTTTTTATTATAATAATTATTTTTCTTGAAATACCATACTGTCATCTTTCCATGTCCTAAGTGAGTAATTTTGTTTATTTTTATTTTTGTTTACAGCTTGATTCCACACTGTATTTTTGGTACAAGTGTGGAATTTTCAGCATGGATATCGGTAGCCCAAATTTTGCTGGCCGACCATAGATATCAGGTGTGCGTCGGCAGGGGATCGAACCTCGGACCATGTGCATGGTTGGTGAGAGTCCTAACCACTGTGCCACTGACACACACAACATACATTCAACGTACAACTGAATAAAATAAACAAAAATGGTTGAATTCTAGAGACTTAAAGATCTTTGCATGTACAGCAGCATACTGTTGTATCGTAAAACTCCATTAAACACGATCGATTTTGTGATAGTTTGCATAGCGAAAACCGAAAATAGCCTTGAAACATATATCTTTCACATCGCCTAGTGCACTAGCCCACTAGTTTTCTATCCGGTCCAAAGCCAGTGAAGAGAATGAGGGTTGAACGTGAGGCTGGTGACACTACCCCAGAAAATCAAATAAACTACTAGTGAAATGCACATGAAAAATATTGAAAAAATGAAAAACAAAATTAACAAACCTATTTTTCGCTGGAATCAGAGAGGCAAAATGGCACAGCCTGTTTAAAAGCCTTCAAGAAGTCAGTCGGCCAGCCGATGTGTCTCCTCTCTCTCTCAATGAAAACAAGAATAAGAATGGGAACCTGGAATGTAAGTATAATGTACGATGCTAGGAAGGCTGTGTAGGTGGCCAAAGATATGAGAATATATGGTATAGAAATGCTCCGCATCTGCGAGAGTAGATTGAATGGATGTGGACTAAACAACTTGCCAACTGCAGAGCCAGTAAGCTACTCCGGTCGGGTCACCTACATGACAACCACGAGTACACTGAAGCAGTGAGTGGTTATCATGATGTCATCAATAGCAACCAGAGATCTCATGCAGTGGAAACTGATCTCCTCCGGCAAGATAATGCCAGCGAGATTCAACCCGAAAGGAGGAGAGGTAACAATTGTCCAGTGCTACAAACAACAACTCGAAACAAGACAAGGAAGATTTCTATAGACAACTGCAAACAGTATTAAACAATATCCTAAATGGTGACATCAGAATCCTTATGGATGATATAAATGTCGAACTGGCAGCAGGCAGCACAAGAAAAGAACTCATCAGGGGTCGTATGAAGAAATCGTATGAGGAGGAGATTAGATATTATGGGCAATCGTGAACTCATCTAAAGAGTACAGTAGAAAATAGGACAAAGTGGAGATGTGTTGTTGAAGCCCCATGTTCCACTGCGAACCCAAGAGAACAATAATAATGTCTGTAAATCTAATCTTATAGACAAGATATGCTGCTACAAGGAAGCCCAATTTTTCCAAAGAATAATTGAAAACACAAAAGGACCACCTAATTTAATCTAAAAGCTTATAAATAAGTAATAAACACATACCTTGAGCGTTTTCACAGCAACCAGAACATTATAAGGTTTCCAAAAAGCTTCATAAACTACACCATATTGTCCTGACCTTAATTTACTAAATGCTCAGTCACGTCGGTCTGCATGACACTAGTGACTACCTAGCAGGCTATCAAAGTAACCATTACAGTCGTACATGAAGGTCAATCGCGAGGTCGAATAGTTCAGTGGTAACGTCTGTGACTGCAGTGCTGATTGATTTGGGTTTGAATCGCAGAAGGCGCGTAAGTTCCTTCAAGATTTCAAGTACGCCTTGCTGACGAGTGACAGAAAACAGCGAAAACTAGGTCTAAACAGATCTTCCTACCGATTGCCTCCAACTATCTAATTTTGATACAGAATGTATCGCTTTATGGCTAGTCCGGTGGTAACATGTTGGTCGCATTGCAAACTTGACTATTTTTGTAATTCTCACTGGACACACATGACTTTATTTATTTATACTACCTATTGTTTAATTAAAACGATACGATAAACACACAAAAGTATTATACTACTTTCACTTGATTGTATTGCAGCTCACTGCTCTAAATATTCGTCGTGTAACCACTGGGTCACAGGTTGAATTTCCTCTCCACCTACTACTACTACTAAGGTTTGATAAGCATAGGAATTATATTATCGTATCACACAATAGGTGTGGTTTGTTACCCCAGCTATATGGAACTGTTGTACAAGGTTCTTGAGTTGTATATTTTTTTCTTACAACTTCTTGCAACTGTAACTCTTTTTGCTATTTTGATCATTAATATAACATTTCTGATCTATACTGAATCAGTCAACCTAAATAATAATAAAGTATTACAGTTACGTTGACGACACTTGATTTATTTTTCTAAACTCTCTTTTTTGTTTTTTACAGAAGAATTTGAGGTGTGTGTGTGTGTGTGTTCACAACTAACTTTTTTATTAATATAAACAAACAAACAGATTTAGATAAAAAAACGAGGTGTTTTTTTAAAATTATTTTTCTAACACTTTCATTTGCACTTGTCTACTATCTTTACTTTACTGCATTTTACCTATAGTGCTCTGTTTCTGATATTTTTTTAGTTGCTTATCATTTTGTAAAATAGATTGAGTTAAATTGATGAAAAATATGGACATATGTATGTATATATATGCATGTGTGTTTGTGTGTATTGCAATTTATTAATGAGCATTCTTCATCTCATTCAAATACCTTTACACCAATCATCAGGGTAGGGGCCTACTCATTACTACTTGTGTGAATTCAAATCACTCACCATCTATGGGATTCATTAAATAATAATAATAATTTAGACAAAGCAATAAGAAGACGTAATTTGTCTGAATCATGTGATGTATTTGCGCTCACAACACATTTCGAACGATCTGCTCGATGACACACGGACTTGTCATAGGAATATATATATATATATGCATGAAATTAATAAAGAGTTATTAACAGGGGAGAATATTCACTTGAAGACACACTTGATGAGGAAAAAGGAAAGTTGACACAAGCACCGGTTGATAATGATTATCCAGATAAGTTCGTCTGGAGATATAAAGTAATCAGAACACCCAAGATCCATTCTCCAACATCAAGCTACCCTGTATGGGTAATCATACCAGCTTGACAACTAGAAAAAGATTGAACGCTGTTGTTAAAAAGACTTTTTATGCAGTTAATGTCATAATAATTGAGAATGTGAACTTTACGACTTAGGAATCGACTTGTTACCAGGGAATAGTCCTATGGACTTAGAATATGCAGATGACATAGTCCTGTTAGGGGAAGATGCTGACAAAATGCAGAGTCTTCTGAACACCTTGAGCAGCAATCTTCATATGTTTGGCATGCGATTCACCCCTGTAAAATGCAAGATGATGTTACAGGACTGGACTACGTCAACTCCTAGCTTTAGTGATGGGGAGTGAAGTGATAGAACATGTTGACCACTTCACCTATTTGGGAAGTTGCATCAGCACCAACGGATCCAAAAAGCTCGAGCTGTTTTCGCCAACTTACACCACCTCTGGCGTAGGCGTGACATCCGGCTATCAACCAAGGGATGTGTGTACTGCTCATCAGTTCCCTCCGTCCTTCTCTGTGGCTCTGAAACATGGCCGATACGCGTTGAAGACATGAAAAGGTTGACTGCTTTCGATCATAGATGTCCGCGGTCTCTTTCTCACGTTAGGTGGTATAATAAGGTAAGTAATGCTGACGTTAGGCGTAGAGTGTTGGACAAAGAGGGAAAATCAATCGACGAGGCTATAAAGTTACATAGACTGAGATGGCTAGGTCACGTGCTGCGCATGCTTAACCATCGCCTCCCCCAACGGTTATTACTAGCTGATATAGGTGAAGGTTGGAAAAGAGTAAGTGGTGGCCAAACAAAAACATGGCCTCATCAATCCATGAAATCCTTGACAGTTAAACTGATTCAGGTAGGTAGGGAGATGCAGACTTCCGGGTTGGGGCCCTCGGGACTCTAGGATTCAATGGCTGGAAACGATAGGTGACATGGCTCGAAATAGTTGTCAATGGCGCAGATGTATTCAGTCTCTGTAATCTTTCATATTCCTTTCTACCATTACTCATTCTGTTTCACTCTTATACTTGTCAGACTGTATTGATTCTCTTCACTCATCTTCTTGTCTACCTTTGTGTGCTATTTGGAACGTGGCAACTCGAACTGGTGCACTTCGGTGCCAAGTTCTATGTTGAATCCAGACAATAGGTCCACCAACTAAGCCCTTTGAACATGCGAAAAATGATGTCACACCCCACTGTAGTTAGCAGTCTGAATGTACGTTTGGACACACATAAATAGGGAGGACTCATTGATCTCTGCAGTAAAGGCTTCGGAGCATATTCCTTAGTGATTTCGGAAGCAAATGGAATCCTCAGAAACCATTTATGGTGAGAACAGGAAACCTAGCTCCTCCATCGCAAAACATATTATAAAGATAGGACGTAAACTGATGTTTACACGTCTTTTAAACCCGTCTGTAGAACGTGTTTGGGGCGAATCCTAAAGTTTGTTGAAGCCCTAACTACCAATTAGGAAGAATAATTCACTTTTATGCGTTCAAACCAACAATTCGTCATCACACTAAACAGTCCTTGGTAAACTTTGTTTTGATACCAGTTGGGCCATATGTACTATTACCTCTGTTATTTGGTTTAGTGATCTTCGTTGTTATTTTAACCTTGAATATATCCTTTTAACATAACCTAAGCCTGTTTTCTCGCCTTTTAACTCTTTATTAATTTCATATATATTACTATGACAAGTCCGTGTGTAATCGAGCAGATTGTTCCAAATATGTTGTGAGCGTGAATACAACATTACACGATTCCGACAAATTACGTCTTCTTATTGCTTTGTCCAAATTCATAAAGGGAACTAATTGTTTTAAAATAATATTATTAATAGTAAATAACAATTTTTCGAATACAAGCGGATGAAAGTGATTATTATTTATTTTTTCTAAAAATTAGTTTCTTACACTTTTGGTTTTGGGTCCATAACACCGGAAATATCAAACATTGATGTGAAACATTTCACTTTAATGTCAGTACAAATTGCTTGTTATCTCTCTCTGTCTATGTTCGTATTTAGATCACAATTATCTGAAGAATATGCTAAAACAGGGAGACTGCGTACAGAACTTGAAAGCCTTCAATCAGCTAAAGTTCAAGTTGAACATGAATTGTTATCTTCGAATAATTTAGTTCAAGTAAATTCAACTTTTTGTAAAGAAAAAAAGTTTATTTTTTTCTTCTTATTTTTCAATTATATTTGGCATTTAATGTTTGGTTGTATGTGGAGAAAAGAAGAAGAAGCTATGAAAATAACACTGATAGTCTATACCTATTTTTCACTCATTTCCTGAGTGAAGTTCTGAATGGAACGTTATAGGGAGGAGAGCTTCGGCAGTACGTCGGCATTTCATCCTGTTCTTTTCAGTCCTCTTTTTCTTGCTGCACGATTGCCAATAGGTTTTCATTTCCTCCTCACATAATCTCCTTTATGTTGTCATCGAAGGGATGCCTAGCGCCTCAATTCCCGTTTGAGTGCCACTTGTGCAATGACCTAGCGCATGACGTCACTCAACCATCTCCTCAGTATATGTCCAATACCATTTTCGTCTCCTTCGGCATAGTTGTAGAGCGATAGGTTTTTAGTTGGTTCATTTTCATATTCCTTTGTGACTAATCCTTTCTGGGCGTTTGATCTTCAGTATGGAGCGAAGACAGCTGTTGGTGAAAGTTCGTAGTAGCCTGTTGGAAATGCCTTCCATTACGTGCCAAGTCTCTGAATCATATACAAGAAATGAATTGAAATTAGTGTTGAACATCCAGATTAATGATTGATCCAGGTTATCTGTGACCTCCGTATCCTTATCGCCTGTTTTTGGAACGATCCTGCCTAGATCAGTGAAAGAGACGACCGTTTATGATAATTGATGCTTGTTGTTGTTGTTGTTTAGATATCATCATCACCTTGATCATCTTCATGTTCACTTGAAGTTCTGTTTTCACGTCTGTGGAACCAGAAATAGCATTTTAGCTGATACACAGTGCTAACGATTTCGTTTCGCTTAATCATCAGTAGTTGTATTTAATTTAATCATATACTAGGATATTAAAGCCTAATTGATTATCGAGTGGACAGACAGCTTCAAAGTAAATGATTGGTCATCGTGAAGTATACTGTTTTTTGATGTCTTTGAACCACATACAGTACAAGTCTGTGTAGTATGAAAATCTCTTGAAAAAAATCAATATTTTTGACAATTCAAAAAACCCATAAACGTAAAATCTTCTCTTAGATACTTATACATGAATCGTATTAGGGATCAAATGTATGTGCATGCAAGATGCTCAGAAAGATGAATTACAGACATGATGTAGTCTCAAGTTTTGCATATCATTACTTTATGAGTCGCATTCAAATAATCTGGAGTTATTATTATTTTTGTTTCCTTGGGTTCCTAGTGGAACATAGGGCTTCAACTGCACGTCTCCACTTGCTTCTGTCTTCTGTTGTGCTTTTCACCTGCATCCATGTTAGTCCATACTGTTTCAACTCCTCTTCACACGATCTCCTCCATGTCACCCTTGCACTGACGTCCCACTCGCCGCTTCCCTTTCGGCCTGGTTCCATTCGAGCAATGGCCTGACGCGCGCGTGATGTCATCCAGCGGCCCCGCCTCCTCAGCGAGTGTCCAATCCATCTCAATCCACTTTCTCCTGCATATTTGTTGGTTAGCTGATTGGTTCTTGTTTTGTTTGTTCCCAGCCATAGTTTCTTGTTGGTGATTCTTTCTGGCGCTGCCATCTGACCTTCAGTATAGAGCGAAGACAGTTAGTTGTTGATGAAGGTCTGCAACAGGCTGTTGGAAATATTCTTTGTGTCCCGCCCGCCAAGTTTCTGATCCGTATAGAAGAACTGACTGACGTTTGTATTGAAGATCCGACCGAATTTTGTTGTTGATGGTGGCTGAGTGACGAAGATCTCCAGATTGGTTTCAGTTGGTTGATGAATGTGTTTCTCGCCTGCCTTCCCGATTCTCGCTCGATTTGACATCATCGTCCGTTCCTCCGTTCCTGTAGTTGAGACAATGCTCAATGCTAGATAAGTGAATGAAGTAACCTCTTTTGAATCCCTCCCGTTGATGGTGGTTGGGGCTGAATGTTGCTGCTGTTGTTGTTGGTTGGTTGTTTATTTTCATAACCTCCGTCTTGTCTATGTTCACCTGTCTAGATATTTGAATAAAAATCAATATGATGTAATGTTTATTCAGAAATAATAATATGAGTGTTATTGATCAATTACAATCACATGGGAATGTACACTATCTCATATTGATTTTTATTCAAATATCTAATCGATTCCACACATGTATATAAATGAAGGAAGAAGTTGTGTGAGCGACTTGATATGATTATGAGCAATAATTTGTGCTCGAAACGTCATTAGTTAATATTACTATGTAACACTGTGTGACACTTTATCAAGATAAAATGTTATCCATAATGGATGTATGGAATTTCGCGTAGCAATTTCAAGTCTTCACATTTAAACTCTAATAAAAATTTCTCCATATTCTAAATTAAAAAAAAACTCTATAGGAATTGAAAACTTCACTGTCAAATGAAAAGAGTCGAGCTCAAACTTTGAAAGTTGAACTGGATCAGTTATATGACCAAATTAAGAAGAATACCCACCGGTGAGTGGATTATTTCTCTTCAAATATATTTTTGTTTTTGTATTGTCGAACAAAATTTCATTTGATGTCGATCCTGAACTCAGTAGTTTAACAACTTTGCTGATGACCGACCGCCTGTCAACTTTGATTTTTAGAATGTTATATTTTCCAGTTTTAGTCACATTTGCACTCAAAATCTACCTCTCTTTGTTATATATGTGCATTCAATTTGGCCCAAGTGGTCTAGTGGACAACACGCCTTGGGTTTTTGTAACAATAGGTACTGGGTTCGAGTCCCAATGGGAGCACTATTACACACTTGCGATTGCAGGTACTTCGGGATGATGAATCCCGACTAGAACGAAGTGAGCATCCTGGAGCATTCTATTGCTAGTCACACTTGCACCCCAAATCTATCTTCCTCAAATATGCATTCAATCTTAGTGCAACTTATTTTGTAAGAAATTCATTATGCATTACTGCACAACAAAATATCTTCCAAAATTCGTAGTTTAAGTGTTTCGACCTATTCTTAATTGTCCCAATCGAACTTAACTTGTTTACGTCTACTATTGGATCCAGCTGTGTTCTTAAAAGCCGTACCTTGTTGTCCCCTGTTGCGTTTGTAATCAACGAACATTATTGTGGGGAGTAGCAGTTTCAACATATCAATAAATACCAATAACTTTCAAAATATTAATGGAATGATACTATTTACAAACTTGACTTATACCCGAGTTTTCGCCATCACTTTTATAACTTGTTATAAGGGACAGACAGTCTTTCTGTTCATGGTCTGGTGGGTTGGAGGGAATGGGCGGTTTTCATTCTTTCCCTTCTCCATCGATTTGATTTTTTACAGGATTTCATCATGAGCTGACATTGGTTAGAGAACCATTGAAAAACCTGGGAGTACTGGACAGCTGTTTCGTCCTAGTTCGGGAATCTTCACAGTGCGCACCCACCGCTAGGTTTCGAACCCAGGACCTTCTGGTTACAAGTCGAGCTCGTTTACTATTAAGCCACTGAGACCTGTTCCAATGGCCCATGAATTCTAACTTCTGCCAATTCATGATATAGCGCGACCCCTAGTCAATATTTTCGGCGATTATTCGTGTTCACACCCGACCTGCTGAACTCTCCTGGTCATGAATTCCCACTAGAACCCCAGATAACTACCTATGGTTTGATTCTTAGTCTTCATTCTAATACGTATGTCTTTCAGGCGTGTATAGATTGTTGATTTTATCGATCCTCAAAATATGAAATGAACTTTGTACACATTACTGATGGCATAGGTGATCATTTTGTTTACAAGTGTATATCAATAGGAATATCAGAGACCCTATTTAGGATTCCTAATAAGGCTGAAATTAAGGTGATATATAAACCAACCAACTCATTGAAAGATACACTTTCATACATTTATTCCCCTTAATGAATTTGAGCAAAGCAAGACTTACAGTTTTGGCAGAATAAAGTGGTACCATCTTTTATTTCGTTGCCTTCTCTTCAGCTGCTTACAAGGCAAAGACATTATTAAATATACCTACAAAGACAATTTTGACATACTTGCACACAGTTCAATTTAAACAAAAGTCAATCGGTCAATATATATATATATATATAATACTATTCCGAACAATAGTGATCATCCACAAAGGAAACGCTCGACATTACGTATTCAGATGAAAGAGAGATGAAAATATCCAGTTACCAGGGCAAAGAAAGACTGATAACCGTTTCTTTCTGAACGCATAAATCAGGTTTCAGGCGCTTGATGAAAATAGCTTCAGCAAACGTGAAGAGAATTGAGCCATTTTGCCTATTGATAATTTTGAACGAGTTTTTGACGTCCACCTCATGACTCTCATGTCGACGAGATACCTGGCGATGACACTGTTTAAAGCATTTGTTCTCTTTAGATGTAAGCTTTTTGGTACATGTTCAGGAAATCGTAGATATGCCCTTCTTTGTCAGCTAAAATTACCCTATAGATCCAGTTAGGAAAAATTATGTAATATGACAAATTTTTAAGTAAATGACTGTGAGGTCAGCTTCACAGGTCAAACTAGTGGGTTGACATCAGTTAGTTTATTTTTTTAGCTGGATATAGGATAATTGAGCACATTAGGTTAAATAATCCAGCAAAAAGCTCAGTCATTGAAAGGCATGCACACTTAGGATAGAATTGAGTAAAATTGTTAATTGGTAATAAAGTTAGGTGGAGAGAGAAACAGGTTAATCACTGAATATTCGCTGCTCCAGTCAACTCTAAATACATGCAAGCGGAATGACTTAATGCCTATACCGCATATATGGAAAATTGTATTGAAAAACACCAGGGAGTAAGACTACATAAAGCAAGCTATCATGTTGTGTAAATACATCGATTTTATTTTGTGAGCAATAAATTGTTCACAAAATGTCATCTGCCTTATTAACACTGTATCCCTCCCTGACTAGTACATTAAATCAAATAAAATTATCTCATATAGAGTGATTGACTTCTGTTCTGTTTTGAAGGCAGATCATCAGAAAGTTTCTTGGTAATGCCTGTGTTGAGAATACACACCAGCTTACAATCACTTTGTATGTAGTCATTCATCTAGAATATTCCTTTTGCATACTATTATTTCCTTTAATTCCTAGAGGAACATAGGGCTTCAGCCGCGCGTCTCCATTGCGTTCGCTTCTCTGCTAGAGTTTTCACCTGGCTCCAAGTCTGTCCACATGCTTTCATCTCCTCTTCACATGACCTCCTCCAAGTCACCCTTGCACTGACGACCAACTCGCCGCTTCCCTTTCGGGTTCCATTGGAGCAATGGCTTGTCTAGTGATGTCACTTGATGGTTTGTTTCCTCAGCGTATGGCCAACCAATCCATCTCCATTTCTTCCTGCCTATTTGTTGCACAATCGGTTCCTAGTTGGTTCGCTCATTGCCAGGGATCCCTGTTTCTGATCTTTTCTGGTCATCCATGTGATCTTAAGTATTGAGCGAAGGAAGCTGTTGACGAAGGTCTGTAGTTTCTTTGAGATGCTCTTCATGACGCACCAAGTCTCTGATCCGAATAGTAGCACTGACTGACTTCACATTGGAGTTGAAAATCCGGATCTTATTTTTGATTCTGAGTGCTGTTGACCTCCACACACAGACTTGAGACTAATGAAAGCTTGTCTTGTTTTCCCTATCCTTGCTTTAATATCCTCGTCAGTACCGTCCACCTGTAGTTGCATATATTGTCATAAAAATTTCCACGTAGTGAATTACCGTTCAGAATCTTCCAGTCTAGTTTGCAGGATATTGCGTTTTCCCTTAGATGCTATACTTGCTTGTATCACTGTCTTTTACAGGTTTCGTTGTTTGATTCGAAGGGGGTGATCAAACTATTTTTTGACTATTACAGGTTTTCCAACGCCTCTATGCATGTATCCCTTTGACATTAATATCCCCCTCACCGAAATGACCGGTGAAAAATCTTAACAGATTCGACAGCTTCTTGCAAATACATACCTCTTGCCTATGTAGTGTTGTTTCTAACTTCTATGTCTCCTGTCTGGCTAGACAAGTTCGATCAAAGTGTTGATCACCAGTGAACAACAAATGAACATGAGGAAATTTCCTGTGATAATACAAGTATGATTATACTCAAGAAGGTTGTCAACGAATTTTTGTGTATTTCGTCACCCTAACATTGAACCGTATCGCTATTAATTTTACTTTTTCCCTTATAATAGCAGCCCAATATCTCGTTCAGCTGAATACAGCATTAATAACGCCAACAGTAATCACAATAGTGTTAATGACAGCATGATGGCAAATGAAAATAGAGCGCCTACTGATAATTCTTCTTCTTCTGCTTCAAATCTTAATCGAAATATTTATCAGGCTATAAATCTTGCCACTGTTCATTTAGCATCTACTCGACGTGATACAATTAAATTACAAAATCAAGTGAAAGAATTACAGGTATTTAAAAACAAATTTATAATATACAACTGTTTTAGTGTTTTCTTTTTGTGCTCAAATCATTTTGCATTTTATCAATCTGTTAAATTTTCTTCCTTTAAAAAAAAACATTTGAAATTTACGTCTTTCACCACATGCATTAATGTGACTTAAAATCCCTGTGGTGACATAGACTAGTTGTTTGCTTTATGTAAAGAAATTTAATCCAGTGGATTGAATGTGTGCCAGTTTCGCTTATATTTTATGGATTTGTGTTGCGTCATAGTGTAACGTAAGTATTTGGCAGTCATGTTCGTGTTCCTCTGCGTGTGGTGCATCAAATTGGTAAAGATGGAGAAGAGATTTCACTTATGGCATACCGGTCAAAGGTCTAGTTTTTCTTTTAGTACAATGCGGAAGATATCGCTTATATTTATATTTTCCTCATTTATGAAACTTCTTGGGTTTTGTTTTCACTGCGAGTGACTGGTTTCAACATGGGACTTTGCACAGAAGTAAAGCAGTTGGAGTTTCCACACTGCATATACTACACGAAGGAAAATAAAAAAGATCCAAAAAAAGATGATAAGCATAAATTTGAAGGAGAAAAAGTAGTAACATGGGAAAAAATAGGGTGTAATGGATATATTAGATCACAAACAGTGAATACATTTGCGTCATTGATGAACGATTTCGAGCCATATCACTGATTGTCTCCAGCTTTCCATTGGTTTTTATCATCTTGAGGACCCCAACCAGGAAGTCTTTACCTTCCGACATGGCTTAAACAAACTGTTGTGGATTTCATTGACTGATGAAGCCATGTTTCGATTTGACCGACATGTCAGCTAACATTGCTCGTTGAAGAGGGCGATGGCTAGGCATGCGTAACCTCATATCCTTGATATTTCAATCAATCCAGCTTCATAACCTCGTTGATTGATTACCCCTTCTTACCAAGCATTCAACCAATGCCTTACCTTAATATTGCTCACCCTATTATACTAGTTAACACGCTAGACAGAACTCAGACACCAATGATCAAAGACAGCTAGCCAGGCTTTTCATATCTTCTACTTGTAATAACCATGTCTCACAGCCACGAAGGAGAACGAACGCGTCCTTTGATTGATAGTCGGATATCATGTCTGCACCAGGGATGGCACTTGTTTTCCACAGTTATTATTTATGTTGAAAGCGGAAAGTATTTAGTTAATTGGAACGATTAAAAACTGAGTGGTGCTGACATGTAAAGCTAAGTGCTTAAAGTTACATGATTTGTTTGATAGAGTGCGCTTAGATATGGAGTGCGCTTAAGTGGTCGTCTTACTAATAAAGCTGTATGTTGTTCTATGACCTCGACGGGCAACGTTACCTGACATAGGGTCAGGCTGAAAAAGAGCTAGCGCCGGTCAAACCAAAACATGGCACCATTCAATGAAATCCACAACAGTTAGTTTAAGCAACGTAGGGAGGTATGGACTTCCTGACAGGTTGGGGTCCTCGGGACGATAAAAACCAATGGCTGGCGACAATTTGTGGTATGGCTCAAAATCGTTCTCAATGGCGCAGATGCATCCACTCCCCTTGTGACTTATTATACCTGATGAAACTATATTGTTCTTCGTTATTACTATTCCTATTGCTATTCTCATACCTCTGTTTATTGTCTATTGTGCATTTCTTCTACTTTCTTCTCTTGCTTTGTGTACTACAAGGAGGGAGTGTGGCAACTTGAACTGCTGAATATCGGTGCAAATTTCTATGTCGAAGACAGACAGACAGATGTGATCATAAACTTGGAAATACCTAATATAGGTTTAGGCCTTAACGATTGTATTCTGTCATAGCTTGTACGGATTTATCTCAGACATGTTCGAACGCATTAATTACATATTTGACTGTGTAAACGTTTTGGTATTTCATCACGTTCCACTGAGCTATCGATAGCGGTAGCAGAAAATGTGTTATCCGTTTATGGTAGTGACTGCTTGCCACAATTTACTTTCCTTATCGAATATTAATTCTTCTCATTTTATGACTCAAGGTATTTAACCAACCTAACTAACCTTGTTTTTATTACTAGACAACTGCTCAAGCTTTACGCTTAAATCTTGCTGAAGCAGAACTACGTCTTATGCCCACGTTAACATCTTTTGTACCCGATGCTGCTTTGAATCATTCATCATCAAATGGAATTCGTGATTCACAGTGTTGTATTCCTAATCAAAGTACTGAAAAGAATAAGAAGAAGTCATCTGTAAATAATACAAATCAATCAGAATTACCAAGTGCAAGATTTGCCAAGTTGAAAAATGTGTGTACAGATTTGTTGTCACGTGTATCAATGGATGAACACGGTATTCATGAGAATGGTGATGAGATTGATGATGATGACGATGATGGTGATGATGACGAGCATGATCAATATGCAAATTCATCAGATGATGATAGTATTGAAGAAAATATATTCCTTGGAACTGGAATTCTAAATCCTCTAATAAGTAGAAATCATCGAAATAACGTGGAACATGATAAAAGTTTCTCACATAATAATAGTGGAGTATCAATATCATCTACTCGTGATCAAACCCAGAATTACACTAGTACATTAGATAAACCAAGAAACAAAAGAATTAACAAAGTTAGTAATTCGGTAAGCGTACTTTTACTGTGGTGAAACGTTGATTGAGTGTGTAGAAAGTCATTGTTTAAATTTTGTACTGAGATAATTTACATTATAGCCAGGAATGATAATCATGGATTCTCAAGTTGTTTGTTAGTTTTCAAAACAGAATTATTTTATTTTTACGGATTGATCATGGCTTGATATCAGCTAGAGAACCATTGAAAACCGGTATTGGAGTACTGGACAGCTATTTCATCCTAGTTTAAGAATCGTCGGCAGTACGCATCCACTGCCAGGTTTAGAACCCAGGACCTTCCGGTTACAAGGCAAGCTCGTATACCATTCAGCCATTGGGACCCAATTCAATGGACAGTCCATGAATTCTAATTTCGACCAATTCGTGATTTAGCGCGGCCCCAACCATTGTCGTTGGTGGGACATCCATCCTCACACGTGACATCTGGATGGACCTCACTGGTCACGACTTCTCACTAGAACTCCAGGAAACTCCATCCTATAGCAAGTCACTGGCGAGCATCAGATTAATTTTTATAGTTTGGTTTGTAAGGGTTAGTTTTGTTTTTACGGTTTGATCACGGCTTGATATCAGCCAGGATGAAACAGCTGTCCAGTACTCCCTGGTTTTCAATGGTGCTCTAGCTGATATCAAGCCATGATCATCCCGTTAAAACAAAACTAACCCTTACAAACGAAACTATAGAATTATTTTAAATGTCATTTTTAAAAATTCCTATGCCTTTTGTTTAGAAAATAAGACTTCAAGATTAAGAGGCGTTGTTTTTACGGGGTACAGTTGCTAGCCTCATACCCGATTTTCCCTCTTTATTGGGCTTATTACCGGCTAAGCGAGGTTCAGGATTACGTCGACCGGGAACCGAACACAGATCATGTGAGTGGTTAGTGAGGACTCTTCGAGTGAACTGCTGACGCAGATATTCAAACTCTTTAAAGCTTCCTGTCCATTATGAATCATAGTCGTACATGGGTTGTAGAACTCTGATTTCCCATTCCATGATTATAGATGCATTTATTGGGGGGTTATTCAATGTAGTTACTTCGGTAGACAGTGGGTCGGTAGCACAACGGTAGAATGCTTTCCAACCACGCATGTGGTCCTGGGTTCGATCCCTGGCCGACGCATTCCTTTACCTCGGTAAACCAGTAATAAAACGGGTAAAGAAAGAGGCTAGCGACCCCATCCCATAAAAATAAATACTACTGCTACCGAAACTTCGAAGCATCAGCTTGAAGCCTTATTTGCCATTAGGAACGTAAAGGAATAAGAAAACACCTCAGTAGATAGGACTGATATTATTTGTCTTTGTCAGTTGTAAATGTTTTTATGGATAAACAATATTTATCTCGCTCTTGAATTATGATGCTCAAAAAGGAATAGATAACTAAATCTCAACATAGGTTCATAAAATCGAGTTAAAGTAGGCATTTATCCCCTTATAATCCTATGGTTTGAATCGTATCTTTTCAAGCTAGTTCATATTAGCTTTGTTTATGTTAATCAAGTAACTTGAAATGTAGAAAACTCATTCTAGAATGTCTCATATACACGGAAATCTGATGACTAATTATTCAAACTTAAAGTTGACATTTCTCGCTCATTTTGTTTGTTCAGTTTTCATAAGCGCTGATCATCATTCGCCGATCGATTATTATACTCAAGGGTAAATTGCCACTTACATATTATTATTCCTTTGGGTTCCAATTAGGACGTGAGGCTTGAACAACATATCTTTATTTCACTGTATTCTGTGTAGTCTTTTCAGCCGACAGCATCATTACCCATATGGTCTCTTCTCCACACATGATTTCCATTCTGTCCCTTTTGGACGGCCAACTCATTATTTCCTATCCGGCTTCCACTCAGGAGCCTGACTTCTAATGTCACTCAATGGTCTCTGCAGTGTGTCTCATTTATCTCCATTTCTTTCGGCATATTTGTTACCCGATAGGTTCTTGGTTGGTTTATTGCCTGACGGAGAGTTCCTCCATCTGACCTTCAGTAAGAAGTGACAACAGCGGTACACATAATATATAAGCTACAGCTATCTGAAACCATGGTTAATTTCATATACACTCTTTACTTATCTTTAACACAATGTCATTAACAAATTTCATTGTTTGCAATGAATTCTTTGATTTCCTTTTCAGAATTACTCTGCTTCCAATAATCACTGTCAAAAAATTGTGGATTCATCCTCTTGTATTCCAGGATATTCAAACAAGTTGAATAGTCCTATACAAACTCTACCTATTATGACTACTAGCATACTATCTTCTTCGGGTCAGTTAGCTACAGCAGATCAAACGATATCTGTGGAACGAGTAAGTAAATCATCTCCAATAATACTTTGTGTACAAATATTTTTTTTGTTTTCTGAATCACGTTATCCCAATTGTATTTCGCATTATATTTAATTCTTCTGCAATTATACTTTGAAATTTTTTATTGGTAGACTATGTTACATATTGATATAAGTGTAAAACTTGAGCACTGTGGTAGAGTATAACGGCGAAGTTAAGCTTTCGACACCACTAACTACCAATCAGCGAATTATCCAATGAGATTTACGAACGATGTCGAATTATCCAATGAGGTTCACGAACGCAGTTCAATGTTGTATAGCGCTTGATTCATTTCTAATACGTGACCTTACACAGCTATTGCTGCAATTCGAGGAGGTTAGTGGTTTCCAGTATTTCGTAGATTTCAGTTGCTCCGGAAAGAACGAATTTGATTGTGTGGTGGTATCATGACTTTAAAAAGCTATACCAAACCAACTGATGGGTTTGTATATCGTTGTGCTATATGTTTGAAGCCTACTAACACTAGAGAGGGTACGCTGATAATTTTATTATTTCGTAGGAACTTTTTTCGCCAGGTCGCTTCTCTCCCTAAAGATAGCAGATAGAAAAGCAACTACTCTTATACCTATTGTTACCAGAATTGTTAAGCGGGGGTCAATTATACACACGGAAAGGCTACAGTTCGCTGTCATCTCTGGGATATATTCATCATAGAGACAACCATTCAAGTGATTTTGTGGATCCCGTTACGAGGACACATACAAATTCTAATGAAGGATTTTGGGGCAGGTTGGAAAATAGGATAAGGGCTATAAATGTATCTCAAAAGGATCTCATTTATAGTCATTTTGTTGAATATATGTATAGGATATGGTGTAACTTCTCCATTGACAGTCCCATGCTAAACTGGGAGATTTTCCTCTCACATGTTTGAGAAAGATATCCCATGTAACCTTTTTTATTACCCATTTTATGCTTTTTTCTATAAATATACATTTCCATTCATCATATATACCTCTTTAATGTGATTGGTCCGTTCGAGGTCGTTTGCTGATTGGTTGTTAGTGGTGTCGAAAGTTTAACTTCGCCAGTATAGCTCTATTATAGATAAGATTTTATTTTGATAAGTCACACAGTGTTCTACAGTAATATTAACTGATGACCAAGTTTCGAGCACAATATATTTCTCATAATCATATCAAGTTACACAACTTTTTCCTTCATTTATAAACATGTGTGGAATTGACTAGATATTTTAATAAAAATCAATATGAGATAATGTACATTCAGAAATAATAACACGAGTGTTATTGATCAATTACAATCAGATGGGAAATAATACGAGTGTTTTTATAGTCATAATAAGTAACTTGTTAGAATGTTATAATGTATGTGAATTGAAATAGAATTTTAAGATTATTTATTATCCTCCTCTGATTTTTCTGACTGGTGGTAATAATATCTTCCATATTTCTGGTATTTGCATTGAGTCATTTCTGTTGCATGTTTTGGGTGTGTAGACTCAATGAACCAGGATTCAGTAATCAATCTGTCTCTCCACCTTCCTATATTACTTCTTAGAGTATTAACCCTCTCCCATCCTATCGCTGGGCTTTTTTCTAAAATACCTATCTTCTCGGAATCAACCATTCTTACCTTAGCTAAATTCTTAATATCTGAAAATCTGAATAACCCCGATTTACTAGTTTGACCTATATAGTTGACCTCACAGTTAAAAGTTGTGTGAGTGACTTGATATGATTATGAGCATTCATTTGTACTCGAAACACGGGCATCAGTTAATATTACTGTACAATACTGTGTGATTTATCAAAATAAAATCTTATGTATAATGGGGTATATTACATATTCTATACTGTATTACCAATCTCTGGATGCATGTATTAATTAGAATCATTCATCACTTTGTGTTTTCTTAAGATTAAGGACAATGCCTTGCCTTGGTGGTGAATATGATAATTAAATATCTTAATGTAATACCTTCCTTACTTCAATTTAGCTCTTGTTGAGTCTTCTAAGATCGCAAATACTGGGCGTGGCGTATAACCTTTGCATAAAAAGTCTGCGCTTATTACCTGACTTCAACTGCATTATTGCAGTGTCACATTTACCTAGATAGAGTTCATGTGCAGTCACTAACTGCGTTTAAGTCACACTGTTTTTCTCTACGATGCCAGGTGAAACCTCTAGCAAGTGTATTTACTAAACATAGTCTTTCAAGTGTTGGTTTGTAGGGATTTGATTGGTTTCAGGATTTCATCATGAGCTGACATTAGTTAGAGGACCATTGGAAAATCTGGGATCCCGGTGGGTGCGCACTGCTGAAGAGTCCCAAACTAGGGCGAAACAGCTGTCCAGTACTCCCAGGATTTCCAATGGTTCTCTAACTAATGTCAGCTCATGATGAAATCCTGAAAACATAGTCTTTATAAGTTGATTTCGACGTTTGTCTGTCATATCTGTGGAGTTGATAGATAAAAAGGGATGAAAATGGACTCTAAAATCTCCAGTGTATGATTGTTTGTTTTATTCCTTTACGTTCCCAGTGGAACATAGGATTTCAGGCTAGAGGCTTGGAGTTACTGTAGCAGTGGTGTTTACTTTCTTTAAAGGATGGGGTTGCTGACCTCATGTCCAACCTTCCCTCTTTACCAGTCGTCACTGGCTTAGGGAGTTATATATATCATATCATATAAATGTGTGATTTGTCTTCATTGTAACCTTTTTGTGGAGGTTGATAAATGAAGTGTTTAGCTTTGTTACATGTAGAGTGCTGTATCTGTTGAAAAATCTTGAAATTTTTTATTGTATTATTTCACGTGGTGTATTTTTTTCTTTCAAACTCACTTCTAAACTGTTTCACTCATTTTTTTTCTCAACTATTTAGTATCGTAGCCTTTACACTCGTTGCCTTCGTGCAGAAAGTTATCGTCGGGCGCTATCTTTCCAAAAACGATATCTACTTCTTCTTTTGGGTAATTTTCAATGCTCTGAGGATGTTGTGATTGCAAATCTTGGTTGTCCAGAATCTCGAATCACTCCACAAGTGGATTCTGAGGATGGTTTCCCGTCGAAATTTAATTCAAGTCCACTGCATAAATTCCGTACAGTTGGTCGCGTTGTTCAAGTAATTTATCGGTAAGATCTATGCCCTGTTTATTTGACTTTTTGTTTAGTGGTGAACTGAGCTATTTCATGGTGAATTTTATCTCATTACTGTCAGATTAGCGAAACAGTTAGGTTACATTGTATCTTGAAAACATTTGAAGCTTTTTTAGTTAAGCAATACATCTGTCAAAGTACACTCCTGCTGATAAATACTCTCATGATTGAAGCTTAGGGTATTGTTTGCTACGGAGGTTTTTATGATCCCCAGGTGTGTGTTTGTACTGTGCTTCATTTATTCCCAGCCAGGTTATACCTTTAATGTTAGCACCATAACTATAGATCACCGTCTCGTGTATATTAAAATGCTGGTGGCTACCGAATTACATTGAATTCATCTCTTCCAGTGGTGTTTCACCACTCTTAATGAACCGGTTAAGTGAGTTATAGTCCATTAGTGTAAAAGCAAACTCAACAAAGATTATCACTGGTGATATTAGATGGTTACAGGCAATCGACAGGAAACCTTGGACCTAGGTTTCGTGCTAGTTGGCACTCTTTGGCAAGGAGTATCTGTAACCTTGAAGGAACTTACGTCCCTTCTGAAATTCGTACCTGCATCACCCAGTGCTGCAGTCAGAGACGTTACCAATGAGCTATTGGACCTTGCAATTGACCTCCTGTAAGACTGTATTGGATACCTTGATTGAACACAAGTAACTAGTGTAATGTGTCTAGTCCTGTTTTTGGCGCAGACTGAATTCTACCATTCAGGTTTGGAATGTGTCTACCATTCTAGGTAGCTAGCCATCACGGTGCACATTGATTTGATGATATAAGATGGTTAGAGGAAATGGGTAGTCACTTTGGTCACTTTTGACGACAGACAGGCAGTCAGTATGACTGTGTTCTGAATATGTTTGTTTATGATGAAGAGCATCAGTCTTATCTTTTCACAGAATCGTTCAGTTAACTATGCTGAAATGGGATTCGAGCTTACAAACTATTGACGACTGAAGTGCTTAATTATTTAGCATATCATTTTCAGGCATTTATTAATATATATATATATATATATATATATATTATTGATTTTCCTTTTTTCAGAATGAAACATTTGGTAAATAAATGGCGACGTGTTGGTATACTGAATATTCCTTCAATGCAATCTACACCTTTGAATAACACAGATTCGCATAGGAATAGTGTACGCTCCAACTCCTATCATATCACACCATTTCAGTCTAATTCACTTAATCTTCAAACAGATCATGCAACTCGAACTAATCGACATTCAATTGGATCTTCACGGACACCTTTAAGAGAATTATACACTGAAGAATCGAATAATATATCTGTATCCACTTATAGAAATTCTTCCAATATCAATGGAAATGCCTATTTATCAAATAATCCAGTCTACCCTCCTAGAACATCCTTATCATCAGCAGCAGCGACAGCAGTACATGGTGCTGGTCAAGCTTCTCCTAATCTTCAAAGTCCATTTTTTGATAATCATGCTGTCTCTACCCTCGCCTCTCATAGATGGTATGCTGCTTTCTTCAGTAATATTAATCATGAATTCCTTTTATATATTATTTGGTCAAATTTAACAAGTTATTGGAAATTTTTCTTGTTTACTTGATTCGATATATATCAAAGCGAGAATCATAAGTGCAAAAGCGCATTTATTCAGTTTGTTGGAATAGAGATTATAGTAGACAGAGTAGTTTAGTTACATGTTTCTATGATATTATTTTTCCTACCCTATCTCATCACTGTAGTTATATTCTCATCATAATGTATTTTGGAAAAGTGCAGACAAAGAAGTTAAGAACTAATAAGTGCATTTCACATAATTACTGAATTTTATTAATGTGTTCACGTAACACAAACAAGAAGACAGGGAAAAGTAGACTCAATATCAGACTGATTAAGATGTCTGTCGATAGTTGATTAATTTGAAACTAGGTTGTGTTTTTTTTATTCGCTAACCTATGCTACTTTCAGAATCGCTGAGCAGTTGTCGTCTTTCACACTTTTGCAAAGTTCCAGCATTATGCAGGATATTTCTTTACGTTACACAACGCACCATAGACGTATTACTAATTTTCAAGTATTCGTTGTTATGTAGGGATTTTGTTTGACTAGATGGAGGAGGTTTCTGGACAATTGTTTTTTCCTAGTTTGGAACTCTTGATCAGTACGCACGCACTGCTAGGGGTTCGAACCCAGAACCTGGTCACAAGGCGAGCTAGCTTGTAGACTATTGAGCCACTAGGACCCGATCCAATGACCAACCCATAATTCCAACTTCTGACAATTCACGATGTAGCGCAATCATTTCGCAATGTCTTCTTCGATGAGTTACTGCCTCATCTTCAACCCTACTGGTCACGGTTTCCCACTGGAATCCCAGGTTAACTACCTGAATAGGGTCAGTCACTAGTGAGTATCAGATTAATTGTCAAGAATTGGTTTTGTAGGGATTTTGTTTGAGTGGATAGAGGATTTCATCATGAGCTGACATCAGTTAGAGAACCACTGGAATTGCTAATAAGTACTACGCCAGTTGACTTAATAAATAATATAAATAAATAAATAAAATAATTAAATAAATATTTTCCTTTTTTAGGCGTCCTCATTCATCATTCACTCAATCTGCATTAGCAGCAGCAGCATCAACAACATCGATTACAACGACAAATCCTAAAGCAATTCCAATCTCTAGACAAGTGCCTATTACATCTATCCCAGTCTGTACAACAGATGTTTACCATAATCGTCCTACAGTAAGAAATCATCAATCTTCTTCATCTTCCTCCTCGAATTTATCAATTGAAAATCGACGTCGTATTTCTACAACAACTTCATCGACATTTTGTAGAGTTGATTCAACTCAAACACATACCGTTCGAACTATTAGTCATAGTCATCATAATAATAAAAATCAAATGAATCCAATTCATAAACGTTCTAGTTATAGTTGAATGCATGCATAGATTTTTTTAAAACTTATTTATTTCATATTGTTAGAAAACAGTACAATTAATTATTTACTAATATTGTTAACATCGAAAAATATTGTACCATACTACTGATAAATAGTACTACTTATTTTCTCATTTATCTTTTCATAATCCTTTTTGTGAAATTCTTTCGATTTTCGCTCCTTCCTTTTATTTCGTATCCCACACAGTCATTCATCCGTTGACATACATATATATTTAGCCTTATTTTAACACTGTTAAAATTTATACTTTATAGCTCATTATCATTACTACCTGTAATATGGATGGTATTGTGCTAACGATTATCATCATTCTACGTGAATGAATTAATGCATTTAATATTAATACTCTTGTTACGATAACGAATGAAATATCAGTCTGTTGGGCGTGTGTATGTATGTATGTGTGTGTGTGTGTCAATGTCTATCTATGTACTCAGTCTAATGTCATCTTTGTTACTGTTGTGTGTGTGTTTGCGTTTGCGTGGGTGTGCTTGTGGGGTGACTACATATATTGAGATACATCAATTTAATGCCTATCTCTTCATCTTTCCTGTTTTGTTTTGTTCTTGTTTTTATATCGAATAGTTATACATAAATGATAATTTTTATGCTGTTTTTTCTAAAAAATTTATTTTTAATGTGTACAGTTATTCAATGTTGACAGATGTATAATGAAATATTGTTTTCTTTGTTGTGTAAAGAGTATGTTAAAATATACATATCTTATTGTGAATGCTTGTCTTTCTTTATCTCACTATTTCATCACAGATATGATCAGGTGTTATGGCGATGATGATTGATGAATAATATCTATGTTGATTAGATCTGGAAGTTGAAAAAACATCTCTCTTTTGAGCTTTGATATTTCAAGGAAAATAAATCGTACATTTATTCCCCTTAATGAATTTGAACAAAACAAGAACTACAGTTTTAGCAGAATAAAATGATACCATCTTTTATTTCGTTGCCTTCTCGTCAGCTGCTTACATGGCAAAGACATTATTAAATATATCTACAAAAACAATTTTAACATACTTGTACAAAGTTCATTTTAAACAAAAATCAATCGATCAGTATACGCATACAGTAATAATATATATAATATTAAACATTACTCCGAACAATAATAATCATACACAATGAAACATATCAGCATTTCGCATTCGGATGAAAGAGAGGTGAAAATATCCAGTTACCAGGGCAAAGAAAGACTAATAACCGCCTCTTTCTGGACGCATAAATCAGGTTTAATACGCCGAAGAATTTTGACAGGAGGATTTATGCGTCCAGAAAGAGGCGGTTATTAGTCTTTCTTTGCCCTGGTAACTGGATATTTTCACCTCTCTTTCATCCGAATGCGAAATGCTGATATGTTTCATTGTGTATGATTATTATTGTTCGGAGTAATGTTTAATATTGTATATATTATTACTGTATGCGTATACTGATCGATTGATTTTTGTTTAAAATGAACTTTGTACAAGTATGTTAAAATTGTTTTTGTAGATATATTTAATAATGTCTTTGCCATGTAAGCAGCTGACGAGAAGGCAACGAAATAAAAGATGGTGCCACTTTATTCTGCTAAAACTGTAGTTCTTGCTTTGTTCGAAAATAAATCGGTTTCCATCCTTATGTTGTGTAAGCCATACATATTTCCTCTAGTAGGAAGTCTGATGTGGTTGCTTTCTCTAACCCCCGAGTGACTTAATTTCAAAGTTTTCATTATCCTTCTGATTGGCGTGGATGCATACAAGATTGTAGCTGCTTCTAGAGCACATTCCGTGACTCTGAACACGTGTACCAAGTTCATCTTGCGATTCGCTGATGCTCATGAACAGCGTACTGTACAGGTTGATGTAAGTAAACTGGTAGCACTTACTACCTCCGTGAAGTACCAGACTGAGTTAAAATCAAGGCTAGATAGCAATCCCCTTAATAGTATAGGTGAACATTGGTGACACCTCCAAGACGGTATGCAAATGAAGAGTGAAGCTGCTTGCGCCTTAAAAGAATGCTCTAATGAAATCCACTAGGTTTCTTCGAGTTTTTTTCAACTTCTGGATGAGTGCCTATCCAATCCGATAGATAGCGAGTATAAGAATATGTGCAGGGCGTTCAGGCGAAAGATCAAACAGTGTTTAACTAAGGACCGCGAAACCATAGTGACTAGTATTTTTCTGAGAGATGGAGTCTGGAGCTACATCTGACAGTAGCCGGAAGCTGTTCCTGTTCACCCAAGTCTCTGGCAGTAAGAAGTATGGTGTTAACAATATAGTATGTGGGGCAGATGGTGCCAACCTGAAAAGGTTCCAGGGATGCTGGGAAGAGTACTTCGAGAAGCAATTAGTCTGGCCAACAGCGCCGGTATTCAACACCATCAACTATAGTGCTGTATGACCGATTAATACCGACCCAACAAACGAAACGGAGGTTCAAAAGGAATTCCAAGTGTTGGGGCATCCCGTCTAGACAATTTACCCCAGCTCTTTTTAAAGAAGGTGGTGACTTTATGGATTGTTCAGCAAAATGAGAATATCCCATCAATCTGGGCTGAAGCTACCATCGTCCCCATCTTTAAAAAGAGCCGACGTAATGCATGCGATATTCATAGGAACATTGATTTGTTACCGGTCGCGTCTAAAAAATCGGTTGGCGTCTTGCTCCGCAAGCTGTACGAAACACTTGAGGAACTAATTCGCGAAGACCGGGCTGGGTGCCATTCCAGCCGTGGATGCATTGATCATATGTTCATGCTTCATCAGTTGCTGGAACACCGTTACTCTATTGCAGGCCAACAGTCGTTGTGCCTTTAACTCTTATGGACAGAACTGCTCTCTGAAACTGTCTCGGAGAGAAGTGTACCTGAGAAGTTCGTTGCCATTCTGAAAATGCTTTTCAGAAACAACTCAGGTAGAGTGAGGGCATACAGTCAGATATCATCACTGTTCCCAACCAACAGTGGAGTTAGATAGGGTTGCCCAGTCTCTCCATTTCTCTTTAACTTTGCCATCAGTTATATTCTGGAGTCAGTCCTGAAGGACGTACGTGGCGGAGGTGTAGATCTGCTCCCTAGAGAATGACGTTTTGGCCTCGATTTTGCATGCGGGCTGCCCAAATCGCGCTTAATCAGTTGGCAATCAGCGTCTGTAAGTATGGTATGTGCTTTGCGTCGTGTAACTGCAAAGTAGTGCTGTAAGATTGGCAGGAGCCTGAACCTGAACTCACTCTTGCAGATGAACCACTTGGAGTTCTTGATAAATTCGTGTATCTGGGTAGTTGTGTGAGTGCTGGTGGAGATTTGACGGACGAGATCTCTTATGATATAGTGGAAGTTAGGGGGAGGATACAATAACTCGGAAAACCTCTGGCATCGTCGCGAAGTCAGCCTGACTGCTTGCTTCCGATGGCATCATCATGTGAGTAATTCTGAGGTGTGACAGAGACTATTTAGGCACAGTAGAGATTACCATTCATGAAGTGTCTTTATTTGGCATGGACATGTGCTACGAGTGTTATCCTAGAGACTTCCGTACAGGCCTCTGTTCGCTAGTCCTGGGACAGGATGGAAAAAGTGGAGAGTTGGGCAGCTTATGATGTGGTGTCGTTAGATGAAGGATATTTGTGTTGGGTTAGCATCAGCTGGTACATCACGCTTCCCTTGTTGGGGTCTGAAGGATAGCTGGAATCGGTGGCTGGAAACCCTATCAGATATGGCCAAGAAACGCAATCACTGGCTAATATACCAGCAACTTCTTTCTTCTCTTTCCGAAAGTACTATGAGGTAATGAATGTTGAATGAGCTTGACAAATATGCTTTTTCGCTTTCTGGATAATGTTCCTCATTTATTCTCTGCTTATTTCCTGTATATATTGTTGTTTTATTATTGTTATGTGGTGTATCTTTTGGCGCCCATACTGTACAGAATGTACGTCTTTAAATAAAATAAGTAAATTTCATTGTCCTTCCACAAAAAAAAATTTTCAGCGCGAAATTCAATATGAAACGAACAACTTATTTGGATTTTCCATGAACAATATAACTTCATCTCCTAACAACTTTTTTTCTTGACTGGTTGTTAAGAGTTCTGTTTTTCTTTTGCTAATTCATGAGCATTATCTTTGAACTTAGTGAACAGTTTCTGAAGTGTAGCCGTAGCTTACATTATGAATAAAGGTTTGCACTAGTCTCTGTGTTTTTTCTTTTACTATTTATTCAGCACTACTATCGATTATGCACGCGTTTGTGTATTTTTCCTTCTCATTTTTTATTTTTTTCTCATTACGTCACATCTCTGCTGATATTGGAATTTGGCAAGCTAATGTGTACTTTGTGTCTGTAAAGCATTTTTCATAGTCAACAAATAAATCAAAGTAAAAGTGAGGAGTTTATAGTATCAGATGACCATTTGCATTGCATAAATGGTGGATAACAAACATGACTAGCAAAAATAAAGCATAGGTAATAAATGTTTTTTTTTATCAAACAGTTAGAATAAAATTTTTCAAGTTTTTGTTTTTTGTAGGGATGTTTTATGTTTGATTGGTTGGAGTATTTCATCATGAGTTGACATCAGTTATAGGACCATTGGAAAACCTGCATGGAGTATTGGAGAACTGTTTCGTCCTGGTCTGGGACTCTTCAACAGTAATCACCCACCGAGGTTCGATTGGCCATATTCAGGAAGTTAACCTGGAGTTCTAGTGGGAAGCCCTGACCAGTAGGGTGAGGTAGTAACTCCTCGAAGAAGACATTGCGAAGTGGTTGGGCTATGTCATGAATTAGCAGAAGTTAGAATTCATGAGCTATTGAATCGGGTCCCAGTGGCTTAATGGTATACGAGCTTGCTGTGTAACCGGGAGGTCCTGGGTTCGAACCCTGGCATTGGGTGCGTACTGCCGATGATTCGCAAACTAGGATGAAACAGCAGCGAAAATAAGGATGGGCAAGTGGAATGTTCGTACAATGTACGAAAC